ATTTTATTCTACAGTTAAGAATTAACTGATCATTGAAAAATCGGCCCTTTACCTATCTGTAGCTTCGTTTACTAGCGATAGAAATATCCAATAAGCCATGTGAATATTCTATCTTTAGTAAAAGACTCTCTTGTGTTTCATCGTCTGAGTTAGATTACCTAAAGCTCAATTACCAGCCCCAATATCACCTGAATCCCCAACAATCCTCAAATTGGTAATTCCAAAAAGACTGGTAACGCATTTATTCATTCATTTGTAACTCCTCTGGTGTTTGAGGTATCCATGGGTGACACCGATTGCTTACCATCACGTGATCCGTCTATTCGATAAAAAAACTACAGCTATACAGATTATTATTATGGAAACTTTCCGTAAGTTCAATAAGAAAAACCAACAACCAAAACTTCTATTTTTTCCTGTTTCAACTGTAGCCTTGTTTCGAACTATTACCAAGTCTGTTACTCGGCCTTTTACTAGATAACGAGGTAAGCTGAGCTTCAAATTTAGGGCTTCGGAGCTGTCTACTGAAGTTTCCAACTTACTAACTACCATCATGCTTGTTTTTTCCGACGGATTTGGCAGAATTGCTTTGCAATCGTTGTTTACGTAATACAGTTCATATTTTAGTCATATCGGAGAAAAAAGACAAGAACAATTAATCTCGGTTCGTTATTGAGTACTTTCAATTCAAATGCTACATTCTTGCAAGATATTTTAGATTATGTTATAAATTCGACTCAATGTAATATAGGAGGCTAAGGCAATTCGAATATCTTCTCTTATACCATAATAACACCCATGGCTCCAATTCACTACACAAAACAACCGAGCCATAATAACGAGGGTTATTACCAGAAAATCGAACCTCAGCAGGGCCACTTAGAGCATCAATAAAACCAGAACCATACTCGTCAGCGAATCTACCCTCACGGTTTAATAAACAAAAAAAAAGTGAAATCGTGACATTTCCCTTCAACATTTAGGCACCTAAACCGTTTGCAAACAGCATTGAGAACGGGACGCGAGTAAATGAACGAGGGGGGTCGTGGAAGGGGGGGTCCTAAACAAAAGGTGCGAGCCCCCACGCCAGCCACCACAACGACCCGAGCGGTGGGGTGGCGGGTACGGTCACCATGAGTTTTGTGTTCGTAGGATAAAATTATGTCGTGTTGTAAAGTTGACTGATATATAAGTAAAGATTGCAGGTTTGTGGTTGTTTACCCATTAGCTTTGCAATTTTATCACTAATGAAATATCTCTTTAGTTATTTTGCCTTTATTAAAACGATCGAAAATAATGTGTTTTTAAACAGTTTTATCTACCTAATTGTGTTTGGTAATTGTCAGAATTTAGCTACATTATGACTGTCTCTCAGCATCTGATTCCGCTTTGAATGTTTGAGTAAATATTACCAAAAATTGTTTAGTAAGATACTACACTTTTTCTAGTTATAATTAACTACTACAAACTGTTATAAAATACTATCATTGCCCTTACTATCTATTCCAATATTAATACTAAGTTTTATGACAAAATTCCAAACGCATGCAGCCCCTACGTCCGGGGTGGTTGTGCTTTTTCGCGGCGCGTGTCACTTCGGAGGGTCGGGCGCGGCCGCCGACACTGCGGGCGTCGGGATCCCGCGTCCGGGCGCCGTCGCCATGGCAACGACACCGCGACACCACACCCACCCTCGCCCACCCTCAGCCAAGCCAAAGTAACCCCTAACACAACAACATACGACCCATTGCTCACTTATATACCGTAGACACATAAAGTAGGGTGGAATAAGTACATAAGAAGCACGGTCAGGCGATGTAAATAACGCGAGATAACTTCGAGAGGGTCTAATGGAATAGGGAATCGTGTTTTGGAAAGTGCCCCGGAGAGAATGTTCTGGGTTGTTACTCACGATAAGGGCCACCATCCCTGCAAAGTGAAAGTCGATATAGGATTAACTTGGCCAAATTTGATTACACAGCCGTTTCGGTTAGTTGATGAGTTGAGGCCGCACTTTAAATATTTAGCCCTTGTTTTACTGTGGCGTAATACAATTTAGGGATACTTAAGTAATAACTATGTATTCATTGGCTGCTGTTTGGTATTAAACGATAAAAATGTACATATTTAAGTAGCATATCTGAATGTAGACAGGATTGATAGTAACAGTTAATGATTTGATTTGGTATTATGTCAATTTATCCAAGAATATATTAGGGGATAAATATCCTGCGACACGTGTCGTCAGGGACGTTGGGTGAAATAGTAGACGTTGCCGGACTTTGGTCGAAATCTCTGGCATGTCAGGCGAAATCGGCCGGCTTCACTCGACATAATCGCTGATACATATCTTGCTTGGTACGTCTTCTCTTGTAGAGCAAAACTGTGGAATGATCTGTCGTCGGTGGTATTTCCGAGCCGATACGACCTTCAAATCTTCAAGACAAAAGAAATACCCTTCAAGAAAATAGGCCGGCAACGCACCTGTGGTGCAGGTGTCCATGGGCGGCGCTGATCGCTTACCATCAGTTGATCCGTCTGCTTCTGCTCGTTTGCCTCCTATTCCATAAAAAAAAAACTAGTGCAATTTCTTTAGCCTATCTTTTTCTTTCCTCTTAACATTGTCTCAGTGTTTTTCTATTTAAAGAACTAGGTTAGGATTATTACCTCGTGATTTCGTCCCGTAGTGGTGGCCCGGAGGTATAAGACGCCCGCTTCTCATGTATGAGGGTGCGACTTACTAAGGTCAAGCAATAATGTGACTTTTTTCCGTGTTATATGTACTTTCTAAGATTATTTAGACATCACTGACAAACGGTGAAGGAAAACATTGTGAGGAAACCTGGACTTATAATTTCTTATTACCTATAAGTAGCAAGCGTAGTGATTATTATTGCTCAAACCTTATCCGTGTGAGAAGAGGCTTTGCTCAGCAGTGGGCATTTAAGGGCTGTTGATGATGATCACCTGGTAGGTTAGTCAAAGTACGGGATTTTTGAGAAAAGGTTATTTCTGGAAGCAAGGTAATATTTTTCCAAGAACCTTTCTATCCCACAACCCACGGTTAGGTTTGTTTAGACTTTACCGGTTAGCTGTTAGACTAAATTCTGTCGCGGAGAACCTAACGAGTTACCGGGGCTCCGGCTCGACGTGCAGGAGAAGGAACGGGGTGGTTTTTAGTCAGTAAGAGTCTGACACTCCCTTCCGCCTCACCCAGGCGGGAGCAGTCATTCGATGATTTTCCACCCTTAAAAAAAAAAAGACTAAATTCTAGTGAATACACTTTATAATGTACTCTCAAATAGGTCAGTTGTCAGTTAATGTTTGCATTAGCTTTACTAGTACTTAGATCTGAATCTAGAATTCCTTTAACTGCTTGAATATGTACCTGTATATGCGACACAATAGAAAATACATTGTGCCCCGCGTGGATCCACGTTTAGACACACGACGGGTTAAAACTAAATACTTAAAGTCTTCTTTGAAAGTAATATAAACATAATAATATCACTCTTTTTTATCCTCGAAGAGGCAGTGGTGCACATTACTGCACTTAATGCCACTGTACAATGTAATATCCACTTTTCACTATTTATGTTATGAGTCCCATGTAGGGCGTGAGCCTATTCCCATATACCGGGCACAATTCCAGACTCCGCGCTACTACTAAGATTTTTTAAAACCCAGTAGTACTTTACCTGATCCGCGAATCGAACCCGAGACCCCTTGCCTTGTACATTCGCACTTGCGATCACTCAGCCAATAAGGCAGTGAGATTAAGTAATAGAAAGAAACACAATAAACAGTACTTAATGTATTTTTTGACACATTAATTGTCGTTTTTTTTTTATCTTAGGCATACATAATAATAGGTATGTTTATATTATAACATTCGTGAGACATACTAAATTAGTGATTATGTTTTTGGCTTTCTCATGTAACTGTTTGACAAGGAACTCGACTAGTTTCAAGCCATGCTAGAGGCTCATATTCATGGCCAGCATTCCGCGACCCGTGGCATCGCGTCGACTGTTGCGTTGCTGACAGCGCCTCGTCAAAAAGTTACGTGAGTAAGCCGAAAACATATTAATTGATACATAATAGTTATTTTAATTATACCTAGTACTTAACACTAAGCTGCCCGCCAGGCCACCTTATCATGGCCCAATCATTATTGTTTTTATTCATTTAGTTACAAGCTGTGCTATTTATATAATGCATCAAGCGTGTCTTTGCATTGTTCTCACATATACGTACAATATTGGATAATATATCAGAGAGATTGTAAAACATATAGTTTTTTAAAAAGAGTAACGAATGGAGGTTTGTGCTCGTTCTTATCCATTCAAATCTACATTTTGGAATGAGCACCTAGCTTCACTGACATAGGTACAGACTGACAGACTATTATTTATTTTGTATTTGTTAACGTTTCAAAAGTACCTACCAAATTATGGTTTAATTGAAATAAATGCTTTGACTATGACTGTGGGCGTTTATGTGAAAACTCCTTGCTTCCATGTCTGCATGTAATGTACCTAACTCGTATATGCAAATAAATAAATATTACTTTACTTATAAATTTACTTAAATCTAATTATTTAATTACTAGCGACCTCCCACGGCTTCGGCATGCAACATGCATGTATTATACATATTATAAACATTCCTTAAGAATCACTCTATCTATTAAAAAAACCACATCAAAATCCGTTGCGTAGTTTTAAAGATCTAAGCGTACATAGGGACAGACAGACGGCGGACAGCGACTTTGTTTTATACTATGTAGTGATATTACACCACACGTTGCCTAATTTCAAAAATATATCTATGAAAATATTACTGAGTACACTCAGTAATATTTTCATAGATATAAAATATTGTATTAAGATACATCTTAATATAATAATATAAATATTGTATTAAGATACATCTTAATACAATATTTTACAATTATTGAACTCCATATCTGACTAGAACTGAAGTTATCATCTCTGTGGTTATTGTTGCTCTACTATGAAATTTCTTTTCACTATTTTGTCTAGTCCATCAGCAGTTGTGGTCTGTAAAGGTAAAATAAATCAACAATTAACATAACATAACATCACGCCTTTTTATCCCCGAAGGGGTAGGCAGAGGTGCACATTGCGGCATTTAATGCCACTGCACAATATAACACCCACTTTTCACTATTTATGTTATGAGTCCCATGTAATAGGGGGTGAGTCTATAGCCCTATACCGGCCACATTTCCAGACTCTGTGCTACTACTGAGATTTTTAAAAACCAAGTAATGCTTTGCCCGACCCGGGAATCGAACCCGAGACCCATGCCGAGACATCATATAAAATAATAATCAAGAAATAAGTTGTTATACGACTTAAAACGTCGTTTAGTGGTCTTGCGTAAATTGCCAACTAGTCACATTCAATACTTTTTTCGAACTGTCAAAAACGACAGTTTTCCATGAATTTTGTACGAGATTGTGTATTGTGACGTCACGTTTATTTAGCGTCATACAGCATACTTATTTTTTTTAATTTTCTCGAAAAATACTAAAATTAAATCGGTCTTAAAATCAATTAATGAAAGTGTGATTATTTTTTAATATTTTGTTGTATTGAACAGTCATTATAATTTATTTTCGATTAAGGAAAGTACCCAATTGCTTCCACGTGCGTATCTTTAGGAGACTCATTTATGCTTCTTTACTTTAGTTATATTTATCTGAAATGTACCTTAACACATTCACTGCACAGTTGCTGTTAAATCTAAACTTTCTACTAGTGCGATACGAGACAAATGATGCCCGTATCTATGTTTCCTGATATGCGTTACGGCTTCTATTTTGCCGTACCAGACCCTGACTTTCAAAGCCTATACAGACGCGGAAACCGCCTATATCAATGGTTTTTATCAACAAATCGATAGACTATATCCTTGTATGTACCTAGCTGTAGTCGCCCTGGGTTCTCTACTTATACTTTGAAGGATACAGAGATTTTTCAAAATCTCCAAAAAGCGCAAGGGAACTTAGATAAATCGCCCCCGCATAGTACGCAAAACAAGGACAACGAGCTACCGCACTGGCTGAGAATCAAATACGGCCAAATACTTGCCGTAACGCAGTGAATGTGTTAAGGACTCTTTCATGTTCCACGTATGTTTTCGCACGTTCACCGACACATAAACGAAACTAAAAGAGCCCTTATACAGGACACTCTGCATACTACTCGAAGAAGGGATAAAACAGCATTATCAAATAACTCACCACTATCATCTTATCTATAAAAAACTCTCGTTCGTGTCTCGACACCTTCCCATCATCAGATGTCTGTGTGTGAATCATTTTGTTGCCTTCAAATACTATTAGAGCTTTCACCTGAAACAAATAAAGTAAAAAAACAAATAATTTTAATATGTGGCTGTACGAGTCCCTTTGGATCATTAGAGGCTTCGCAATTGGGATGATGACAAGGTATGCAAATTAAAAATGTAATTAGACCATCAGTTAGATAATGAAAGAATATTAGACACGTATTTTTTTAGATATAACAAATCAAAATTTAGGAGTGGGGACAAAAACGAAATTTCTACGTATCAAATGTACATAGAAGTGACGTCACGCGACATTTAAAATCAATATAATATCGTCGAAAGTATTAGTTTCTGTAAAAAATAAAAAATATGTGTGTAATGTTTTATAATAGTCTACCATACGGACATTACAATAAAAATTAGTATTCTACCCTATTGTATATGTATTGAGTAGTGTAATTGGTTATTTGTACCGTTCTATTGGTATAAATAGATATAAATATAAACGTGGCGATGCTGCCAGACTTCTTGAAACATTCCCTATTGACATCGATGCGGACGAATTCTTTGACGCTCTTTGTAAATTGTTCTTTTTGCTTTCCTTTAGTTTTATAGTTTTAAATGTATATATTAGAAATCAAGTATGTAATTATGTATAACAATGGCTGGTAATTAATCGGATTCGACAATCTTAATCTAGACGATTGTGATAAACGAAATTGATTGATGATATAAGTATTTAAAATCACTGTTTTGTGGTATTTTCCAAAACAGTCAGTCAGTATCAACAACCAATTTTGCTGTAGTTTCATTGTTATGAGATTTAGTCTATTACTGAACATTGAATTAAAACTACATGTATTCTCCATATTAACCCTTTGAGTACCGTCATTATCATAGTATAAAGACATTATAGACACAATTAAAGAACAATAGGTTGCGGTCACCGGTGTCCTCGTGGTGCTTGACAGTTTACCCTACAACTTTACGGAAAGCTCTGAAAATTCGAAAACCAAAGAAACTCGTAATTTTTGATAGCCTGGACAGCAAAAACTACATCATCGACAGTCACTTATTCCTTGAAAGTTATATCGGATTTGACATTGTAAGGTTCCGTAAAATGTGTGTCTAACAGTTTTTCCTGATCCACTTTAAATATAAAAGTACTTATAAATGTGGATTTATTATGAGGTCTTGGTAAACAACGGTCTTATGTCAATTCTATTTAGAGTAAAAAATCACTATCTAGTCTGTCCCTATGTATGCTTGGATCTTTAAAACTACGCAATGGATTTTGATGCGGTTTTTTTAATAGATAGAGTGATTCTTAAGAAAGATTTATATGTATAATACATGCATATTGCACCCGTGTGAAGCCGGGGCGGGTCGATAGTAAAAAATAAAATATACCTTCACACCATCAGCCTTGACTTCTTCAAACTCCTCTCCAGGCTTAAATGTAATGCTGGAGTTAGCCATAGTCGAAAGAAACTGGAAGGTATAAGTCCCATCTTCGTTTTTAATCAGGACGTGAGCCTGATTTAGTCTAAGTGCCACTTTTCGAGCTATGTAGCTTAAATCTGGAAGAATAGATAGTAATTATAAGTCATGATCATCTGTTTGAATCCGTCCATTGTTGAATATAGACCTCTAACAATATAGACACTGAATTTGATCTTTTCTCCATATCATAACTGTGTTTGAAATCTGTGGGACTGGATACATAACAAATAATGTTTACAAAGAAAACTGTAATTTGTATAATAACATAACATCACGCCTTTTATTTCCGAAGGGGTAGGCACTTAATGCCACTGTACAATGTAACACCCACTTTTCACTATTTTATGTTATGAGTCCCATGTAATTGGGGGTGAGCATATTGCCATATATCGGGCACAATTCCAGACTCCGTGCTACAACTGAGATTTTTTTTAAAAACCCAGTATTACTTTGCCCGACCCGGGTATCGAACCCGAGACCCCGGGCCCGGCAGTCGCACTTACAACATAATAATATGCTTTAAGACCAAGAAACATTCACACAGATGCATATTTTATTTGAATAAGTAAAATGTACAATCATATAACCGAAATAAAGAAACCAAAATTTAAAAAAACGTAAAATATTCATAGCAAAAAAAACTTAAGTCAAATCTTCACATCACAAAAACTAGTAAAACGGAAACGAAGGTATCTAAATACTAAATACAGAAATAAAATCAACTCAACCATTGAACACACCGAAGAAAATACACTCCAAACTATTCATACACACTCGAAAATAAGTCACAAAGTCACAATCATTTATTTCAATTAGACCAGGATGGCACTTTTGAACATCAACAACAAACATTTTGAAGTGAAGCTAGTTGCTCATTCCAAGGTGTAGATTCCTATGGAGAAGAACGAGCAAGGAACTCCATAGGTTACTCTTTTTCAATCAGGTTTACAATACAATTCTCTAGTTACATAGTTTTATTGGTTCGATTGTGTGAGAACAATGCAACACCTAAATCCAGTCAAAGAGATTGAAAAAGAAAATAACCTTGAGGATAATAAAATGATACAGTCTGGAGCTGATAAATAATCTCAGCACTCACCTAAATACACTAAATAGTCCTCGAAATTTTCCGAATCGGTCAAAACATATTTTTTACCCAAAAACTCGTCCATCTCAGACGATGTATAAACACGTATGTTGTAAGCAGAGGCGCACGTGTGTCCTTATCACTGATGATAACGTGTCTTTATCACCCCGCTTATCTATTACCTACGTGGGTAATAAGTTCATGATTTATAAATAAATATAATAATAATAATAATGTTTATTAACCATAATTTTTACAGTAACTCTTATATATAAAATTAATCGTTACAACATCATATAAAAAGTGAGTACTTAAGATGAAACTATGGTACCCAAGGTAAGATCAAACTTGTGTTATGGGTACCACCATTGTCCTTCTTCATTTGCACAAACTTAAGTTGTTGGACGAACACTTCAAACAGGTTTAGACTGGAATAAACATTATTCTAATATACTGTACTATATATTATTTTCTAAGTAGGTACTAATGCAGCCTCTTTTGATTTGCGAGTGCATACTTAATTATTATTTTGTGTATGAAAATGTTGGTGTAGTGTGAATGTATGTGTAGTGTGAATGTATGTGTAGTGTTTAGGTGTGTGTATAAACGTGTGTCAAAGAGTAGAAATCTTAATAAGCTCTTCCGTCTGGTCGTAATTTAACGTTAAAAGCCATTCATGAACCCTTGCCTTACACCCCCTCCGGCACAATGAAACAATGTCACAAACATTATGGACCTTGTTGTAAATATGACTAGAGAGGACATTATAATGTCGCTGGGCAACGGTCGTACGACATACGTGGGTTGGGCATATTTTGTTACGTCTGCGTTTTCTTGTGTCATTCTTTTCCAATATTACCGTCGGATGTTTGCGTAAAACAGTGGATAGAACAAAGAGCTGTCTAACTGTAAGAACACCACATTCAGTGTAGAGTGTTGTCGTGGGATATTTAAAGGGTTTGGCATTCATAACTTTGAGAACTGCTCTCTGTGCTCTCTCTAAAGGCAGTAAGGATGTTTTAGTTGCACCGCCCCATACAGTAATGCAGTAACCTAGGATAGACTGGCACAAGGCGTAATAAACGGTTTTGAGGGTACATTGGTTAGCAGAAGCCCTCAGCTTTTTGAAAATAAATATACACTTTCGAACTCTATTCATAATATTACTGATATGAGGCTTCCAGCTTAAAGAACTATCTATGTGGACTCCGAGATATTTGACAGTCATGGATCTTGATATTTGAGGACAGTCACAATGAGCCGAGGATCGGCCAAGAGGACATTTGTGAGCTTTAAGTACCATCGTGTTCGTAGGAGGGATGTCAGTGGATCGCAGCGAGAAAGGTAGGTAGACTGTTTTGTCGAGATTTAGAGTTAAGACATTTTCGGACAGCCATTTCATCACCGAAGTAAGAGCATGTTCCGCATATTTGGTTGTTTCGTGCCAGTCACGGCCATGCACAAGTAATGCCGTATCATCTGCGTATGTAAAAACAGAACAATTTTCCAGGGTTATTTTGCAGAGGTTATTAATATAGGCTAGGAATAAGGTTGGACCCAAAATTGAACCTTGAGGAACGCCGTAGCAGAGTGGTTTGGAGTCGTCACTCATTATTCCATTTATTTTGACGCACTGCGTTCTGTCAGATAGGTAGTCCTGGAAAATTTTGAGGGTGTGCCCACGTATACCCATGGCTTCCAATTTAAGTAAAAGATGAGAAACGGACACAGTGTCAAATGCTTTTGAAAGATCTAAGAAAAATATATATGTATATAATATATGTGTATGTTTTGATAATGTACAACATCTGGTCGGAATTCTACGAAAAGATGGATTAAGATGGTATACACTCATTTTTCCTGGTGATTAGTCATGAACTTACGTAGCAAACAGTCTGATGTCGGTACTTTTACGATACTATAATTTTTACTATTACGATATTTTTTTATTTATAATTTTTAGATTTCTGTAAAGTTTAATTAAACGTAGCATAACATCTTTTTCCCCTAAAGGGGTAGGCTAAGGTGGACATTATAGCACTTAATGCCGCTGTACAATGCAACAGTCACTTTTCACTATTTATGTTATGAGTCCCATGTAATAGGGGGTGAGCCTATTGCCATATACCGGGCACAATTCTAGACTCCGTGCTACTACTCAATTTTTTTTAAACCCAGTAATACTATGCGCGACCCAGAAATCGTACCTGATACCTCTTGCGCCTCGCACTTGCGACCACTCGGACAACGAGGCAGTCAGATAGATAACAATCACACAAACTGCGTGTTAGCGATTAACAAAATGTCTATCAATATTTTACAGGAGAGAAGAGCATCTACTACAAACCTGAAGAAAATGGTGAAAGTAGTTCGACGGTCACACGCCAGGAAAAAACTCCATACAGACAGATCTCAGAAGAAGGTGAGTTCTTAAAAACCTTTCTTAAAACCAAATTAATAAAGGTCATATATGAAGAACAAAATATTCTCAGCGTAAGATTTTATCAAAAGACTTACCTGCAACATTACTCACGTAGAGATAATCGTCAATGGTTTTCCTTTCTAGTTTTATCGAAATTGGTTCAACAGTTTATGAAATCGTTACTTAAATACAGACTCAACATTTCACAATGGTTATATTAAGATACCTTAGCTATTTGTCCACAGCGTCGCTTGCATAATTAGTAAAAAAAGTAGCCTATATTATTCTCTAGCATTCTAACTATGTCCAAACACAAAAAAGTTACAAGCAAACAAACATTTAAACATTGATAAATATTAACAAGGATTATTAAGAATACCCACGCTAACACCCCGTTTAAATCCATGTCAGTTTACATTTAAAAGCCTTTTTAATCATCATTGTCGTTCGTCTTAACCCTTCACACAGATTACAGTAATACCCATATTAAAAAAAAAGAATCTCAGTAACAATGAATCAGCAAATAGGAACAGATGTAACTCTTACGCAACCCTTCGTTTAAGTGTTTCTGACGCTGCGAAGGGGTCTTGAATACCCCGGTATTTTCATCTGTCACTTGATGACGTAATAACGGTAATGGCGTCCAGACGCCATGATGAGACGCCGCCATCTTGGATGGTATTGTGTTATTTAGTTACGGCATGGAATAATGTGTTGTTTACTTGGCTATCTGTTGTAGCTTTCTGATGTAATTTGTAGTTAATTATCACATGGAGAAATAATTGATCTATCTGACAGTTGTTTTTTTTTATCCAGTAGAATGCTTTTTGCCTTTTTTTAATTTTATTTGTTTTTGTTTTGAAATTAGCATGTATAAAGTTTCTAGTCTTTTAAAGTAGAATTAAATTCACCCAGGCGAGCAGAAGAATCATAAGATCTCCTTTCTACGATAGTTCATAAAAACTTTGAATGAAAACGATACATAAATATTATTTGATTACGTCATAACAAACAAACAGATTACCCCACTAATTAGCCAGACAACCGTCTGACAACCTTAGCTAAACCCTCGGCGTCTCATCTGTACCCCGGTAATAGTATATGCAGGAAATGTCACAGCTATCACATAGCTCCACGAACCCAGCTTTGTATTGTACTGCATTATAAGCTATGCTTGCTACATATTTAGATGACGTTACGCCTTGTGACGTAGTAAATAAGGAATGGATAGATTTATAATTTTTTTTAACAGAGTAGATGACTAATTTTTATTTTAATGTCCGTCTGGTAGATTATTTTAAAATATTAGACTAATTTTAATTTTATTAATGTCATGCATAGTAGGGTTTGAACCTTACACCTTTATGAATCCTGACACAAATGCTTTATCTCAGAAAAATTAAAAATAAGTACCAATGTTTAAAATAACACTTCATGCTGTTGCTCTGGGCAACTCGGCAGTTATAAGAAAACCACGTTTGAATCACAAGTATTTTAATAAAACTTATAATTTTACTCACTTTAACGTCCCAGACTACATTCACAGTTGCGCCGTAGCCCTAGTGAAGGCTATGTCGACCCGGTCTAGATCAGGAATTTGGGCTGAAAACCAAAAAATTGGGCTAGATCCGAAGATTACAATTTTATCAGCACCTGAATTAGACTAAAACAGCAATGAATTCAGGAAAACAATAAATGTTTATAGCAAATAATTGTTGATGTAGAATTTTGTATTTGACGTAAATTAATGCAGTTTTGCAATACGGCAAGAATGCAAAGTCAAAGCATTTATTTCAATTAAACCATAGTTTGGTACTTTTGAAACGTCCACAAATACAAAATAAATAATAGTCTGTCAGTCAGTCCGTCAGTGAAACTAGGTGAAGCTAGGTGCAAGTCGGCGATGTAGTAAGTATTATTATGAGAGTTCTAACAATGCGTTTTCCCCATCTTTCCACCCAACAATGTCCCATGCCGCAGCGTATGCTAAGTATGTCGCTTAATTCCGTAACAATGAACGTACTATGCAATGACTAATGAAAGCTGATTACAAGCATACATACGTACATGCCTTCACGTGAATGCGCCATGAGAAATAAATATATTTCTTTCTAGAGATATAGATCTCTGTCATACCGCCTTTAGTACGTGTAAATATAAATATTCATAGTTCTATTACCTATGTGATGGTTTTGCGTCATAATCTAGTGTCGGGAATAAAAATGTGCTTTAGTTATTTATAAATGTTGCATGATATTGCATGAAAAGACTGATGGCTGTTGAGGAAGCGAAAGAGGTATGTAAGAATCATAGCAATTGGTGGTCTATAGTCGCCGCTTACTCCCATGGGAGACAGGTGTGAGGTTATATAACATAACATCTTCATCATCTTTTGTACAAGCCTGAGGAAAGCTAGAACTATGATAAGTGGAGACTTTTTTGATAACTGATTTTTGTTTTAAATATGTATTCACCTTTTTTTTTCTTTAAATAATTTTCTTGCTGTGTACCTGTTTTATATAGAATTATAATTTTAATTTTGTCTTAGCTGTTACCTATTAAGTCAGTATTCGTGTGGATCTGTAAGTGGCTCAATGTTACTATTTTTCTGCTAAATCTGTGTAATGTAGCTGTTGATTCACCATTCAATAAATAAATAAATAACATAACTTCACGCCGTTTATCCCCGAAGGGCTAGGCAGAGGTGCACATTACGCCAGTTAATGTCACGCCAGACTTGACATGCCACTTGTCATGCCAGACTTTTGGGCATTGAGAATTTGAGGATTTCTGGAGATTCGTGGATTGGGGAGATTAGGGAGGGGGTAATAGGGTTTTCGGTAACCTGACGGTCACATGACGAAAAACACAACGCAAGCGTTCATTCACGACGGTTATCTGTGAGGCCTTGGTATCACTCCGATCGAGCCCGACCATTTGTGCCGAAGCATGGCTCTCCCACACTTATTAACTCGTCGAGTACCGGTTTTATAGACACAATTAAAGAACAATAGGTCGCGGTCACCGGTGACCGCTTGGTGTTTGACAGTTTAATAAAAAAAATCTTTAACCCATCTCTACTCTTTCGCAGAATCACCGTGTAATCAAGTGACAATACACAAGCGACCTCGGTTGGGGTCCGGAGAATATGAGGACACCACCAAATTCTCTCTTCCTCATACACCTGAAAAGACCACGACAGAAAATAACGGAAAGGCTGAAACTCCTGAAAGCATAAGGTAAATTCATGGTTTTAATCTTGAATGATTTATTTCAACCTACGCTTTGCCCGTGACTTCGTCTGCATGGAAAATGTTATATAGTTATTTCGGGTTTTCGGGATCTTTTTGTTTGTAGCTTGTCTTTTCTTGAGGTCGATCCTGTTCTGGGTTTAAAGTTTATAAAATTAACCAAGAGATAAAGTGACTTTTGCAATGGTAATAGATTTTATTTCAGCTTGAATAGAACGAAATTATAAGGGTGATAAGTTGGTCTTATTATTTTCATCATTAAAGTTTTCGTCACTACTATTTGGCATATACAGGGTGTTGTTTTAAAGCCGCGTCATTTTCTAGGAGGTAACTTGGCTATCGATTCTGAGTCCAAATCAATAAAAAAAATTGTAGGCAAATATTTTTATTTTTTCTGTAAATTACGGAAATCCGTAAGTGTGAACTACACGCCGCCGTCTTGTTACTAGCTTTGTAACGCGGCTTAACACACACAAACTCAAACACGTAATTGATATTATTCCAAATTCCATAAAACTCCAATTCGCGCCAAATTGCTTATTTTGAAATACTGTCGAACTTAAACGATTTATTATAGCCGTATTTTTAACTATTGGCCCGAAACTTTTTCTTACATTGAACATTTATGACTTCTGTGACATGCCCCGAGAAATGACACGGCTTCAAAACTACTTTGTATTTTTTACCGACTTCTAAAAGAAAAAAGGAGTTCCTCAGCTTAATTGCGCGATTGGTTGAACCGATTTTGATGCGGTTTTCAAAAAAGTGTTTGTTACACTTAGAAGGTTTTATTTAACCAAACCAAGGAATGGAATTCCTTGCCAGAGGCTGTGTTTCCCGACAAATATGACTTGGGTGTCTTCAAGTCCCGAGTGAACAGGTTGCTCATAGGTAGGCGTCCTCCATCGTCGGCCACATCATCGCTTACCATCAGGCGAGATGGTGGTCAAACGTCGACATATAAAGTGTAAAAAAAAATCCAAACAAAAATTATTTTACTAACCATTTTCATAAAAAGATGTGTTGAAGCCGGTTTTTTAAACATAGTTTATACAAGAATTATTTTTTAACATAACATCACGCCTTTTATGCCCGAAGGTGTAGGCAAAGGTCCACATTAAGGCAAAGGTCCACATTGAGGCACTGAATGCCACTGTACCATGTAACACTCACTTTTCACTATTTACTTATCTTATAGGTCCCATGTGATAGGGGGTGAGCCTAATGCCATATACCGGGCACAATTCCAGACTCCGTGCTACTACTGAGAGTTTTTAATTATTTTTATTTGTTATTTAATATGTGTTTTATAATGAACGCATGTGTTTTGAATTTTTATAATATCTGGTGTATCTGGTGCTGGGTTGCCTGGGTCCAATCAGTTGGTATGGTCATTTTTATTTATTCGGTTTGTAGTTAGTTTTTTTTTTAAATCATCATAATCCACAGCCTATAAGTGACCACTGCTGAACAAAGGCCTCTTCTTACACGGAGAAGGTATGAGCATTAATCACCACGTTTGCTCAATGCGGTTGGTTGTTTTCAATATTAATTCTCCATGGACACTTGCTCCGTGCCCTTGTAATACATTTTTTTTTAACTAAAATCGCGGGTTACTCACGCGAATATACTGAGAAAAGCTCTACTAGTTTCGAACCACAGAGGGGTTCTTCCTCATAAGCAGCATGCGTGGTCGCGGCGACGCACGTCGCGATTTTAGTTAATTTAGTATGTCTCACGAAACTTAGTATAAAAACACCTTTTTTTTTAGGTAGTTTAGTCATGTGTAATTATGTAATGTATTATTGAACCGACATAAACGTTGTATTGTAACTTTCGTGAGACATACTAAATAAATTATTATAAATGAACGTTGTTGGGTGTAACACAAATAAGGACACAAAATCATTTCTGCGGTATGATTTTTTACAATATTCGTCATATATTTCATGTTTTTTTTTTGTAGCTATTCTAGTACATAATATGTTGTTAATATGCCTCGTAAGTGTACCGGAATGGATAGATCGTAAACATGTTTTGGAGATTAGTGTTTAATTAGCCTAGCATGTGGTAAACACATTATTATTCTGCTATACTATAGAATAGACCTAATCATATTTATTCATGTAATTGTGTAATTGTGTTTTTTTAATCGTTGCCCCACACTAGAATTTTCTCTTGTGTCGTGGGTGCGTTTACAAACATACAAGTTCACATACACATGACACCCAGACCTGGAACAACAATTTGTGGATTACGCAAAGAGTTGTTCCGTGCTGGAATTGAACCCGCTATACGTTGCGCGGCGGCCGCTTGCCCAGCCACCGCGCCAACCGTGCAGTCAAACCAGCTCTTCTCTAATTACACTCCTAACGAAATCTATCCACCATTTCATGCCCTGAGGACACGGTGGAACACACCGTAGCGGAATGCCCTGCGTGGGCTGAGCACCGCCGTGCCCTCAGGGAAGTGATCGGCGATGGCGACCTCTCGCGTCCGGGCCTTGTGCAGGCCATGATGCGGAGCGAGGGGGATTGGGATGCCGTCTCCTCCTTTTGCGAAGCAGTCATGCTAGCTAAGGACGACGCGTGAGGCAGCGAAGCGCTGCCTCCTCGCAACCCAACCATCGCGAAGGACACACCGGGCGTCGGGGATCGCGGGACGATCTCCGGCCACCGTAAGCGCGGGCCTGCGGACGGTGAGCATGGGTGGCTCCCGGTCCCGGTCCGACCAGAAACAGACCCGAGCGTACGGCGCGTCGCGTACCGCGCGCGCCTCAAAGAGCCATCAGACCACCACAGATGGGGCCCAATAGGGCCGATGCCGATTCGGAGTCGCGGAGAACCTAACGGGTAACCGGGGCTCCGGCTCGACGTGCAGGAGAAGGAACGGGGTGGTTTTTAGTCAGTAAGAGTCTGACACTCCCTTCCGCCTCACCCAGGCGGGAGCAGTTATTCGATGATTTTCCCCCCTTAAAAAAAAAAATCCACCATTTCATCATCTGTAACTCCTTCATTTTCTCATTTGGTCGTTATCTTGCTTGTAGCTATAATACAATAAGGTAGATGCTTAATTTTTATTTTAATGTCCGTCTGGTACATTATTTTAAATCATTAGACACGTATTTTTTATTTTCTTACATAAACGAAAACTTTCGACGATTTATTGATTTCAAATGTCGCGTGACGTCACTTCTATGTAGGTACATTTTATACGTAGAAATGACGTTTTAGCCCCCACTCCTAAACTTTGATTCGTTTTATCTAAGTATTGTTTTATATTATACGACAAAATAAAAAAATACGTGTCTAATATTTTTTCATTACCATTTCATTACGGACTAATTATATTTTTAATTTTCATACCCTGTCATCATCCCTATTGGTTACGAATTAGCCAATAAGTAGCTAGACCAGCATGGAGTTAATAAACAAGTAGATTCTAGTCGTTGCTTCCCTGCATGTAGACTGGTACAAACGGGTGGTTGGTTCCAGAAACCTTTACGACCTGGTGGAAAACCTTCGAGTCTGCACGTCCATGTTTGTTGGTTCCAGCCTCCCCACGATATACTACGGGGCCCGCACTCACACCCAGATCAAGCAAGTTGTAAAGGAATTTAAGAGGACGTCTTACTGTGGTATGGTGAAGATGACTCTCCTCTCCAGCCGCGATAAGAGCTGCATCAAGGACTTTGACAGGAGTGTCTGGAGTTCAAGGAATGATATGTGCAGGGCTTGTGTTAAGGTTAGTTGTGAATATCATAGATTCAAGATAATAGATCAAGCGTGGGAGAGCCATGCTTCGGCTCGAATGGGCCGGCTCGACCGGAGTGATACCACGGTCATCCAGAAAACCGACGTGAAACAACGCTTGCGTTATGTTTTGTCGTATGAGGGAGGTTATCAAAAGCCCCATTACCCTCCCCCCACTCCCCAATATCCCCAATCCTTAAATTCGTAATACCTAAAAGGCCGATAAAAATTGATGTTAATAAGCGATTCTTTGAGGAAGATTGCGCCATTTTGACATTTGAAGCCGAAATGCCTTATTTAAGGATTATTAACTGGTTTAATTTTACTATTTTAACGTCATGATCTATACGGTATTTTTTTTGTAGTGGCCTTAATTTTTTTTTAATATTTGATGGGGCGACGTTTACCACATTGAATTGCATTCCGGCATTTTGTCAAACACTGAACAGACTCAATAATTGGTATTCCAATACTGAATAACCCGATTAAAATAAAACCAAATTCGCACCTCCAAACTACTCACACATAAAACAAAAAAATAAAAAAGAATACTGCTAATAATTTTATAACCATAAAACGTACTTATCGCCTTCTATCTTTGACCAATATATTCCCTGTTCCAGCCTATAAGAAGGGGTTCAAACAAAGAGAACTCCAACTGCAAATTCTACGACAACAGAACAGCCCTGAACCACAACTGCATGCCAGCTGCCTTCGACCTTGAAGATCTTGTGGAAATCGGACGGGAGAAGGAGGCCTGCCCTTACTACGGAGCGAGGGCCATGGCAAAAACTGCACACATAGTGTTCTGTCCCTACAACTATCTGATAGATCCTAGCATAAGGAGTAGCGTGAGTATGAGTGCCTTTAAAACGATGCCAGCGCCATCTGCGTTTCTTTATTAATATTAATTTTAGTCCCTGAAGAGGTACAGGTGTAAATTTTGGTATAATTGTTGCTTTTTTACTGCCTCATTGGCCGAGTGGTCGCATGTGCGACTGCTACGCAAGGGTTCGATCACCGGGTCGAGCAAAGTATTACTGGTTTTTTTTAAATCTCAGTCGCACGAAGTCTAGACACATGCCCGGTGTATGGCAATAGGATCACCCCTTATTACATGGGACTCAAAACATAAATAGTAAAAATTGGGTGTTACATTGTACAGTGGCATTAAGTGTCGTAATGTGCACCTCTGCCTACCCCTTTGGAGGGGTAAAGGGCATGATATTAAATGTGTGTTACTACTTTTTGTTAGGTAAGTTTTATATTTTGAATTTCAAAATCAAATATTCGGATGAATCAAGAGAAAGTTCGTGATAGTCGCTTGACCAAAGAAACAATCTCTTCAAAAACACATAAAAGTTATCGTCATTTCGTCCCTTTTTAAGTTTATAAGAACCTCTTACTGTCAGATAGTTGATGCTCTTTAACCGTTGTATATGTTGAAGTAATTCATCCCATCATACAGAAGTAAACTGGTCAGGGTGACAGAACTTTTCCGCGATCTATACCTTGTTAATGATTCCCTTTAATTTACATAGAGTATATTTAATTAGATAAGGTACAATGGGGTTGACGTATCCAAATAGATAAAAACCCCCTAAAAATAATAAAGGAGAATAAAAAAATCATACAGAAAATTCCCATCATTTCTTCTCTATTTGTGTACCTTCTTAATCTTTAACCCTTTGAGTACCGTCATTCACCGTCACAGTCACCGTCATAGACAGAATTAAAGAACAATAGGTTGCGGTCACCGGTGTCCTCGCAGTGTTTGACAGTTTAATTGAGTTCATTTTAAAATTTACATTCCTATAACAAAATTTAATCGTCTACAGTTATCAATAGACCTCACCGGCGCAGTAGTGATAATAGACGAGGCACATAACATCGAGGGAATATGTCGCGACGTGGCCTCCGTTGATATCACACAACTGCAGATACAGAATGCTATCAAGGTCAGTAAGTTAATATTGGGTGAGAGAACAATCATAATGAAACATTGCTTCAAATGTGGGAGAGCCATGCTTCAGCACGAATGGGCCGGCTCGACCGGAGTGATACCACGGCCTCACAGAAGACCGACGTGAAGCAACGCTTGCGTTGTGTTTCATCGTGTGAGGTTACCGGAGGCCCAATTAGGTTCCCCTTCCCCAATCTCTCCAATCCCTGAATCCCCAATTGTTAATTGGGCCTCCGGTAACCTCACTCACACGACGAAACACAACGCACGCGTTGCTTCACGTCGGTCTTCTGTGAGGCCGTGGTATCGGTCCGGTCGAGCATGGCTCTCCCAAACTTAAAGGTAGTGCCACAACCACAACCGTAGTGGCAAATCGCTTTTATTAGTCTACTGTTCAATTTTCTCTAAAAATATATCTGTATGTATTGCAGGAGTTGGAGACTGTATCGCAGTATCGGTTTGCGAACCAGGACGTGGAGTACTACATAGACGGATTGCTGAACACGCTCAATAGTTGGAATTACTGGTAACTTAACTTAACGAACTTAACTTCTATTTAACTTCACGCCTAAGTCTTCAAAGGAGTATTTGCATTATTGTAACCAAAAACTGACTGCCTCGTTGGTCGCAAGTGTGACTGCTACGCAAGGGGTCGCCGGTTCGATTTCTTGGTTGGCCAAATTACTGGGTATTTAAAAAATTCTCAGTGGTAGCACGGAGTCTGGAAATGTGCCCGGTGTATATCAATAGCCTCGTCCCCTATTACATGGGACTCATAACATAAATAGTCCCCACTCTTAAACTTAACTCCATTTTATCTAAGTATTGTAACTTTTTCATTATCTAACTGACGGACTAATAATTACTCAATATATGTGTCAAATGATTTAAAATAATCTACCAGACGGACATTAAAATAAAAATTAAGCATCTAACTTATTGTATTATAGCTACAAGCAAGATAACGACCAAATGAGAAAATGAAGGAGTTACAGATGATGAAATGGTGGATGGATTTCGTTAGGAGTGTAATTAGAGACGAGCTGGTTTGACTGACACGGTTGGCGCGGTGGCTGGGCAAGCGGCCGCCGCGCAATAATCTAATTAGCCACTAATTAGATTTTTAACTGCTCTGCTGACTGCCTCGTTGGCCGAATGGTCGCAAGTGCGACTACCGGGCAAGGGGTCTCGGGTACGATTCCCGGGTCGGGTAAAGTATTACTGGGATAAAAAAAAATTTCAGTAGTAGCACGGAGTCTGGAAATGTGCCCGGTATATGGCAATAGGCTCACTCCCTATTACATGGGACTCATAACATAAATAGTGAAAAGTGGGTGTTACTTCTGTGTGCAACTCTGCCTACCCCTTCGGGGATAAAAGGCGTGATGTTATGTTATGTTAGATTTTTTATTTTCATTCCCTGGCAACTACCCTATTGTATAAAACTTAGATACTTAAATTAAAAAAAAAACTAATTTTTACTTAAATTACAAACGACAATAACTAAATAACCATTTGCTCCTGCGCAGGTTTCAAAACCAGATCCCGTTAATGAACCAGCAACCAGTGAACAACAATGAAGCTATCTACAAATGGCAGCAGACCGCAGACTTCGTCAACACGCTAAACAACCATAACATCGGCTACGTGCAATATGCTGGTAAGTTATCTTAGGGGGCCTCCATAAATTACGTGAGGTGTTTTTGACGTAACAACGTCCTATAAATTGGTTTGCCGGGTGACACTTCAAGAAACTGCGTTACGCTCCGCTCACGTTATGCGCTCACAATGAGAGCGAGTGAGAGGCACGCGTCCCTTCCACTCGGGCATGGTTAGCCCGCCTAAGAGCGAGAGAGACAGACATAAAAAGTGAAAGGCACGCGTCCCTTCCACTCGAGCACAGTTCTTCCTACTATACGAATGAATATTCACATTAAAATTATTTTACCACTCAAAGTCGTTGTCACGTAAAACTTTCGCCCGTATACCGACTTTACAGGCAACCAATTTATTTTTTATTGTCTGTGCCTCCCTCCCCCCTTGGTGAGATTTCGTAAGATTTTATTCAACACCCTCCTCCATCCCCCAATCTCACGTGAGATTTTTCAAAATGTTGGTTTTTCACGTAAACTCGTTGGATAGTTATAGTGAAAAGAAAAAAAATCCATGTGCATGTACAATTAAATCTTAAGCATGTAAGTACAATCTGGAATAAATTAACTATGAAGTCGGTAAAAATTGTATTTTTTTTTGTTTCTATCAGAAAAAAAATTACGTGATATTTGCCGAGATTTGCCCCTCTCTCCAATGTAAGATTAGGTGAGATTTGAGTCTACCCCCTCCCCCCCTTAAGGGGGTACATGTCACGTAATTTATGGACGCCCCCTTATACTATTATCTATAACTAAAGAGTTTGTCTGTTTGATAGCGCTGATCTGAGGAACTACTGGATCGATTTGAAAACATATTTTTGTGTTGAATAGTCTAGAATTACCTATGGAGTTTCTTGCTCGTTCTTCTCCATAGGAATCAAACTTTGGAACGAGCAAATAGGTTCATTAGAGGACTGATCGACAGACCGACATTATTTTTTAATATTTCAAGATTTCGGACTCCTTTTTCGTTCGTAGTCGTGCGTTTTTCTTTTATATTAGAGTAAATAAAATTAAATGAGATTGCCTCGTTGGCCGAGTGGTCGCAATTCCAACTGCCAGGCAAGGGGTCTCGGGTTCGATTCCCGGGTCGGGCAAAGTATTACTGGGTTTTTAAATATTCTCAGTAGTAGCACGGAGTCTGGAAATGTGCCCGGTATCAGGCTCACCCCCTATTACATGGGACTCATAACATAAATAGTGAAAAGTGGGTGTCACTGTGTGCACCTCTGCCTACCCCTTAGGTGATAAAAGTCGTGATGTTATGTTAAATAAAATGTTTTTGTACAGATTTCAAACGCAACGCCGAGAGCTTCTGCCGCCGACTGCGCGAGGACGCGAGCACTCTGTACGGAGTCACACAGGCCACGGGCACACTGCTGGAGGCCATGGATATGGCGCTGGGTGAGACTATATCTATTTATCTAGGGCTAATTCAAATAAATGATTTTGACTTTGACTCAGACAGATTTAGATGGCCTTCTGCAAACTTCTGTCATTTGTTATAAATACGATAGATTTATAGTAGCTACGCTTGGACTGTATTTACCCGGTTCTTTTTTTATGGCATAAGCCGGTAAACGAGCAGACGGATCACCTGATGGTAAGGAATCAGCGTCACCCATGGACAAGTGGAACATCAGAAGCGTTACTAGTGTACTAGTGCTTTACCGGCCTTTTGGGATCAAGAATTTAGAATTGTTCAGGAATTTGGGAGATTGGGAAAGGGTGAGGGGTGTAATTGGGCGTCCGGTAGCCACACTCGCACCACTATAACTCAAGTGGCACGAAATTGTACATTATGGTGTATGACAATAGGCTCACCCCTTATTCTGTAATACTAATATAGCGCAGGTGGTAAAAAGGGTAGAACACCAACATTACTCAGTTCTTCGAGAATATAACGAACAGTCGTCTATCACACTAATATTATAAATGTGAAAGTTTCTTTGTTTGGGCGTTTGTCCGTCCATCTCACTGAAACTACTGAACGGATTTTGATGAAATTTGGTATACAGGGAGGGTACTGGTTGACTTACGAGGCAGGATAATTTTATCCCGATTAAAAAATAATAGGATTAAACAAGAATCATATTCTATCGCGGGCAACAGCTAGTTGTACGTCAAAGGTCAAAAGTCCACCGTGAGTGATGTTCACACGGCAATGCGTAAGTAAATATTAATGTGCATAAAAACGCGCGCGTACGCATAAACACACGCACGAGTACGCACACGGATACATATATGGTGAGCCTGATGTGACGTGAGGAACACGTGTGCATGTATAAGCGCTGCAGCGCAACCGATAGTAGACTTGCGGTGGCAGTGGACTTTTGACCTTTGACCGTACATAAAATGATGATGAGAATTATAATTTATTTATTTATTTACATCATTATGTCTTAGGATTCCTTTTCCGAGATCACTGCCAACACATGGACGACTTCAAGCCGGCACTTATCAAACATGTCACCGGCAAGACTAGCGCGCCATCTGCCAACACTGGATGGAGATCTTCGCAGTTTAATGATGTAAGTACTCATAATATTAAATGTGTATATCCAATAATAAATGTATTACGTATTTACTGCTATCCACTATACGGCTGGTGCGGTGCAACGTGTCGCGGGTTCGATTCCCGCACGGAACAACACTTTGTGTGATCCACAAATTGTTGTTCCTGGTCTGGGTGTCATTGTGTATGTGAACTTGTATGTTAGTAAACGCACACACGATACAGGAGAAAATACTAATGTGGAGCGATGTTTTTCTTTTTTAAATTACTTTAAGTGAGAATTTTGACACATTTTCCATACGGCTCTACAACAGTGAATCTACAAGATAGACAGGTTTTTTAAATAGGCCGTTTATATATACAAGGTGTTGTTTTAAAGCCGCGTCATTTTCTGTACAGAAGGTAACTCGGCTATAGATTCTGAGTCCGAATCAATAAAAAAAATTGTACTTAACAATTTTTCATTTTTCTGTAAATTACGGAAATCCGTATACTACACGCCGCCGTCTTGTTACTAGCTTTGTAACGTGGCTTAACACACACAAACTCAAACACGTAATTGATATTATTCCTAATTCCATAAAACTCCAATAAGAAATATTGCTGTCGCTTATTCTGAAATACTGTCTGAACTTAAACGATTTACTACAGCCATATTTTTAACTATTGGCCCGAAACTTTCTTTTACATTGAACCTTTATGACTTCTGTGACATGCCCCCGGGATATGCCACGGTTTCAAAACTACACCTTGTATATTACCCATGTGATGACTACAAAGTAAAATACTTGATTGCCTGTGTGTAGTCCACTCGTAGAGATTATGGCAAACATTTTATGCCATAAGCCGGTAAACGAGCAGACGGTTTACCTGATGGTAAGCAATCGGCGTCGCCCATGACACCTTTTTTTTTTTTTTGTTGACGGGGGGAACCCTTCCAATGGCGCCTAGCTTTTTGGGGAAAAAGACTAGGGAGTGTGGGATTTTTACCTCACTAAAACCTCCCCGGTGGCCACCACACTTAAAGGGGGCACCGGGTCCTCTCAGTAGACCAACTCCGGTGCCCTCATAGTGCAACGCCTGTGACGGCACCTCCCTATGGAGACCTATATGTCTCTCCTAGAGCCTCTCTGTGCACTGCACGGCGGCACGTGACCACTGTGCCGGCGTCATCCTTGCGGTCATTAGGTGGACGCCTAGATTCCCCACTCTATGCGCCCATGACCCCAAAGGTTTGCCTACCAATATTGTAGGCACTAAATCGACATATTAGGCGCCGCGGCGGTTATTTCCTCGACGCCTTCGACGTGTGGGATCGGCCCTCTCACGATCCCGCTCAGCAGCCTCCTTTTGGGACATTACAGTCTCACAAAAGGTGGCAACTTCTCTCCAGTTTTCTGTCTCTGCCAGCATAGCCGTAACTACTGCTGGCAGAGACAGGTCTCGCCCGATCCTGGCAACTAGGACCCGCCGCTCTGAGGCCCACGCTGGGCACTCTTCACTCTTCACTCTTCCGGGATACCGCAGATTCAGTCGCGATTTACTAGGCTAGTCGAAACGCCCATGACACCTAGAAACCAGAGGCGTCACACGTGCGGTACCGGCCTTTTGGGGAATAGAAGTTTGAGGATTGTTAGGATTCAGGGATTAGGGATATGAGGAGAAGGGTAATTGGACCTCACACGACTAAACACAACGCAAGCGTTGTTTCACGTCGGTTTTGTGTGAGGTAACGTGTAGGAGACAACCATAGTCCAGATGATCTAAAATAAACAATACACGACTCCGTTATCAGCCTTTATATTTATTAACTCGATTATATTATTGTTTCATGCTTCTCAGGATGAAAAGAACGTAAGTGTTTACTTTATTATGAACCGTAACATAACACAATTTATGTACCTACCTATAGAAACTAATCTAAAATGTATGACAGGGTAAGAAAATTAAAAATCTAATTAGTCCGTCTTTTAGGTTATGAAAAAATATTAGGCACGTATTTTTTATTTTGTCGTACAAGAAAATAATCATACATAACAACACGCCTTATTATCCCCGAAGGGGTACATATTTCGGCACTTAATGCTACTGTACAATGTATGTAACACCCACTTTTCACTATTTATGTTAAGGTATGAGTCCCATGTAATAGGGGATGAGCCTATTGCCATATACCGGGCACAATTCCAGACTCCGTGCTACTACTGAGATTTTTTTAAACTCACCAAAAAACAATACTTGGATAAAACGGAGTTAAATTTAGGAAGTTGTAAGTCACACGTTAAGTTTTGTAAGAAAAGATAAAATACGTGTCTATTGTTTCAAAATAATCTACAAGACGGACATTGAAAGTTTAGGAATCTACCAAAGTCAAAGTCTTTGACTTTATTTCAATTAGACCAGAAAGACACTTTTGAACGACACTTTTTGACTTTGACTTTGACTTTGAACATCAACAAACAATTAAAAGTGAATATATTTGCTCATTCCAATGTGTAGATTCCTATGGAGAAGAACGAGTATGAAACTCCCTAATTACCCTATTGTATTGTGTGATGTATGTAGACCTTCAGAATCACTGAAATGTAGATAAATACGTACCTAACTCCCGCACAACTGCACTAGCGAAGGAAATTAATAGCTAATTTCAATCCAAAGTCTTTGTATTAAAATCTATTTTTGACATTATTTATATGTGCCTATGTAGTGTTTGAACCCTGGGTGCTTACTCTTGAAATAAATCTCAATGCAATTTCAATCCGATAGAGTCTTAATAATTATTCAATGTCAAAACTATACAACCACAATCGTAGCTGTTAATATAGCATTCAGAGTACGGAATATAAAGACAAACTCAATACCATTTAGTTCATTCAATATTCTCGCAAAACGAATTCAATAGGCGCTAGTGTTGCAACTCGAAAGTACGACATTTCACAATATCAATATCGATTCATCGGATTTGGATTCAAGAGTAACACCCTTGGACTTGTAATTTCTTATTATAAATTTGAAATGACCAACCCGCATTGAGCAAGCGTGGCGATTAATGCTCAAACCTTCTCCGTGTGAGAAGAGGCCTTTGGTCAGCAGTAGCCTAGTAGGCTATTGATGATGTTATGATGTAGTGTCTATAAAAAACGTAGATGGATCGAGATTTTGTGTTAAATTTGGTTGTTGATTACCCGGGTAAATTGGGTTATAATATTTTGTTCACATTTTATTTATCATTCCGACTAGGTTTAAAAAAGCGACATATCGATTAAACAGAAATGTCAGGAAATATGAAAAAAAAATTGTAATAAAAATAGTCTCGGCGATATTCTATCACTATTTATTTTCGTAACTACGTACCAAAAACTGGGCTGATTGTACATGGAAATGACAATAATATGTGCAAAACATTGGAGATCAACAATATTCACCGTGAAGTCTATTTCGTTTTCATCCCGCGGCAAAACAAGTTCCCAGAAGGAATACTTTCAATGTATAAAGTAAAAACAAAAAATAAAGATGTCATTTTTTTAGTTTAAAAACACTCATGGGTTTTCGCCCATGAAGACGTAAATGTGTATGCACTATTCGCATCGCACGTGCCACCCGATGATAAATACTTCTTCGAGAATTACATGACGTGATGTTTGATAATGTACCTTAGTTCGTATGCGTTTCCGAAGTTTGCTTTTTGCAATGGTTCCCCAATTATTTCTTATTTTAAATATATTTTATTTCTTTGTAAAACTATTGTATTACCGAGACAGAACCATTTTACTTCTGGATGATAACGAAATAGATTTCATGGCGATAGCAAATTAATTTTCTTTTTTTCTTCTTTTAGTGGGTATCAAAAGAAGCCTTAACCCTATCCCTGATCTGCCTGAACTCCGGTATAGTAATGCAAGCTCTGCAGAAGGCTCGTTGCATAGCCCTCGCGTCAGGCACTCTGACCCCTCTCATCAGTCTACACTCCGAGCTGGAGACCACGTTCCCTCACAGAGTGTCGCCTAATCATGTCATACCGGGGGATAGGGTGAGTGTAAATAATTTTACTGCCTTGTTATTTATTTGTTACTTGTACACATTTCAGTCTTAGCCTAGGTTTCGTCTGTGATCGGCGACGGCGACCTCTCGCGTCGGGCTCTGGTTCAGACCATGGTACGGAGCGAGAGGGACTGGGATGCCGTCTCCTCCTTTTGCGAATCAGTTATGCTATGGTTCAGACCATGGTACGGAGCGAGGGGGACTGGGCCGTCGCGAGAGACATTCCGGGCGTCGGGGATCGCGAGACGATCTCCGGCCACCGTAAGCATGTGCCTGCGGACGGCGAGCATGGGTGACTCGCCGCCCGACCAGAACCAGGCCCGAGCGTACGGCGCCGAGCGTTCCGCGCGCGCCTCAAGGAGCCATCAGACCACCACAGATGGGGCCTAACAAGGCTGATGCCGATACGGAGCCGCGGAAGACTTAACGGGTTGCCGGGGCTCCGGTTCGAAGTGCAGGAGTAGGAACGGGGTGGTTTTTAGTCAGTAAGAGTCTGACACTCCCTCCCGCCTCACCCGGGCGGAAGAAGTCATTGGATGATTTTCCCCCCTCAAAAAAAAAAGCCTCGGTTTCGTCCGAAGCTGTGGAAGACCTAGCGGGTTGCCAGGGTTCCAGCTCGATGCAGGAGTGGGAACGGAATGGTTTTACTATTGGCTGTATGGCTCAGTTATGTAATTGAAACACCGGTTGACATAACGAACATAACGTTTATTTTTTCTCCTATCAAATGGCAATTTATTTACACAGATTTTGTTACCAACACAAAAAATAACAAGTTACTCTTTTTTGTAGGTTAAATTGTCAAACACCGCGAGGACACCGGTGACCGCAACCTATTGTTCTTTAATTGTGTCTATAATAACGGTACTCAAAGGGTTAAGCCGGTAAAGCGGACGGATCACCTGATGGTAAGCAATAGGCGTCGCCTGTGGACACATGGAACACCAGAGGTAATAAGTGCGATACCAGCCTGAATTATTATTATTATTGCGGATTAGGAATTTGATTCTGACACTCTTGCGCCTCACCGAAGGCGGGAGAAGTCATTGGATGATTTCCTCCAGTTTTGAGCTAGGTCTTCCGCAGCCCCGATCAGACACCAGCCCTGCCCATATGTGGTGATCTGATATCCTACAGCCTAGTAAAAAGTAATCTTTATATATATAATTCATCTGTGAGTGTGTATGTCACTGAACTTCTCTCAAACGACTGGATCGATTTTGATGTAATTTTTTGATGGATGGATGGATCTGGGAATGGTGTAGATTCACAAATCAGCCCGGCAGATGGCGCTGCAGTCGATGTTTAGGTTATTTATCCTAAACAGCTGAACTAATTTGAATGAATTTTTGTTTATACATTCAAGTGGATATGCAGGACAACGTCTGTTGGGTCAGCTAGTAATGTAATAATACTTTAATGTACAAACAGTTTTTAAACGACTTAAAAAAGGAGGACGTACTCAATTTAACCTCTATGTCGCGTATGTCTGAACCGATTTTGTTCCGGTTTTCAGCTGGTTTTAGTATATCAACCTAGTTTATTATCCCCTAGGTATGGATAGGGACACTGCTAGGCGACGCTACGGGCGACGTGTGTTACAACGCGAGCGGGGCCAGTTCCCCGCGCGCCCAGCGTGCGCTGGGGGCCGCCATACTGCGCGTGTGTCGACTGACTGCGCACGGAGTGTTATGCTTCCTGCCCTCGTACTCATTACTCGACAGATTAATTAAAGAGTAAGTACAAATGTATAGGTACTATTTTTCACCGACTTCAAAAAGAAAAATACTGCTGCCTCGTTGGCCGAGTGGTCGCTAATACGACTGATGATGCCCGGCGGCAAGGGGTCTCGGGTTCGATTCCCGGGTCGGGCAAAGTATTACTGGGTTTTTAAAAATATTCTCAGTAGTAGCACAGAGTCTGGAATTGTGCCAGGTATATGGCAATAGGCTCACCCCCTATTACATGGGACTCATAACATAAATAGTGACCTCAGAGGCAAACTATCCTGCCGAATCGGAGGACTCGTCAAATCTAGGGTTCGAACAATGGCGTCCATCCTAGTAAACGGCTTGGGGGAGCGAGAGAGCTGCCATCGCCTAATGGTAGATGAGGCTCTCATGAACCACTTTGGAGCCGTTGTGATGGCCGCCCGAATAACTCGAGCCAAGGAAGTCCTTCTAATTGGTGACATAAATCAGCTTCCGTTTATAGATCGTGATAACCTCTTCCCTCTACTCTACAGCCGCCCTACATATATCACGCCCATAAGCCAGGAATTGATGTGTACCCACAGAAATCCAATGGATGTGGCGTATGCCCTCAGCACAGTTTACAGTGGCATATATTCGTCCAGGTCGTTCGTGAGATCCCTCGAGATAAAAAGGTTCTCGGGGGCGATGATTCCAAAGTCACTCCCCGACACTTTATACCTGGTACACACTCAGGCAGAGAAGGAATCCCTTAAGAACCAGGGATACGGGTCGACCGTGGGATCACGCGTGCTCACGATACACGAGGCACAGGGACTTTCGTGTGCGAATGTGATTGTGGTCAACACAGCAACAAAGAAACATCAAATACATGACAGCGTACCACACGCGGTAGTAGCAATATCGCGTCACACGCATGGTTGCATCTATTACACAGACAACAGTGAAGACGCGATAAGCAAACTAATCAGGAAGGCGGCTGATGAGGGTGAGCAGGGTATTAAGGACTACAACCTGAAAATGGCCATCAAACACAGGGACGCGGCAGTCACGGGTGCTCTCTTGGGCGGGGAGTGTTGCTTGTGATGGAACGAATGCAACATGAGGAAATGTGTGTGCAGAAACATGTAGAAATAGAATATGACCAATTGACTTTGGACTATTGTACGCTTTATTGGAATCGGCCCATGTGGCAAGGGTTGAGGCGTCATGCACACATAAATGTCCTACAGTCGGTGGCGCTGTGTGTTGGGTTGTTCCGTTCCCAATAAAAAGGTTGACCGGACCAATTGCTGACACACACGTCATACTCGTGAACGGGTGCCTTCTGCTGGGTCAGGTCGGCTCTCCCATCTTGTTGGTGGGCTGGTTTCATAAAGCCTTAGAAATAGAAATAAATAAATAGTGCCTAATTATTATGTAACCTATACTTTTGCTAATAATTATAGATGTAGTTAATTGTAGTATGTAACTAGGTTCCCTCTTTACTTTATAAAAATTGACTAGATGTATTATAATTAAAAAACTGTATGACAAGGGCACGGACCTAGAGTCCGTGGAGAAATAATCTTTAATATTAAAAAAAAAAAAAAAAAAAAAACATAAATAGTGAAAAGTGGGTGTTACATTGTACAGTGGCATAATGTACACCTCTGCCTACCCCTTCGGGGTTAAAGGCGCGATGTTATGTTATGTTGTTGTGTTCAAAAAGGAAAACAAAGAGGTACTCAGCTTGAGCTGTAAGTATGTATGTTTGTACGGTATAAGGACGGGTGTCAGATTGCTCGAAACATCACAAGGTATAATGTAGAACTAACTTTGTTTCTGGTAATACACGAGTTATATATTGGTTACATACATGATTACAAGTACTAACACCCCTCGAGCGTCCTTATGAGCACCCGGTGGATCATAAGAAAAGATGCTCTATGCTGCTTTCTCTTTTATAAAATCCATTATTAATGTTTTGTTTTTATTTTGACTGTATTTATTATTTCTGTTGTAATGATCCTTGTTTTCGTGTGCCAATGGCCAAATAAATGCATTTTCTTTCTTTCTCTAAATGTCACGTGTGCACCCGTTGGATCATAAGGAACTCGGACGCTCGACGGGTTAAAAGAAGGTTTTAGTTAAAAAAAAGATGGCGTTAAAGTCGGTTTTGAAACGTAGTTTATGAAATAACTAGCTTTTACCCGCGGCTTCGCTCGCGTCACAAAAGGATAAAAGTAGTCTATACCAATACACACAGCGCCATCTATACCAATTCTTTTGTTTTCCCTCGGGAATACCAAAATTTTCCGGGATAAAAAGTACCCTATTATTTAATCCGGACTTCTAATTTTACGTTTGCAAAAATTCAAAGCAATCGGTTTAAAAGTTACGGCGTGAAAGCGGAACAAACAAACAAACTCACTTTCCCATTTATAATAGTAAGGATTATTTGATTGCTTGTTTGTTTATTTGTTTGCTTGAACGCGCTAATCTCCGCACCTATTGGTTTGTTCCACTTTCGCACCGTAACTACTAAACCGATTGCTTTGAATTTTTGCAGACGTGAAGTTAGAAGTCTGGATTAAATAATAGGGTACTTTTTATCGCGGAAAAATTTGATATTCTCGAGAGAAAACGAAATTATTGGTATAAACGGCGCTGTGTGTATTGGTATATGTCACATAGGCTACTTTTTATCCTTTTGTGACGCGAGCGAAGCCGCGGGTAAAAGCTAGTAATAAATAAAAGTCGTTTATTTCAGTCAGCTAGGTACCTAACCATAATCAAATTTTACATAATCACATTAAAAACATCATCAACTATGTGAGATCAAGTGAACGTACTTAAGGTATATTTTTGTATTTTGCATTTTTGTTATTATGAATAAAGTTTATTGTGTACAGATGGCAGGACAAAGGACTCTGGTACGAGTTGAACCAGCTGAAGAACGTGTTCTGTGAACGACGGAGCGACAGGGACCATGAGGAGACTATGAATGTAAGTAGATTATTATAATAAAGGCACAAAAAAAGAGACTGTACAACTGGTTGAAGTCCAGTGCCAAGCACCACGGAAATGTGACTGAAATCTAAGTGGGTCCTATATGTGGGCTGTTATACTTGCTTCCAGTAATAGGTGTGGTGTGGCAAAAGCGCCTAAACGCGCGGAAATTTGTTCTAGATTCCACAAGGTCCGTATAATAAGCTACACCTGACGAAACAATTAAATTATTTAACATAGTGTTACGCTCATATTGCCAGAGATCACACTCCCAGAGTATGTGATGGGCGGACTGCTCGTATTGCAAATCCACTGTCGAACATTAGCACCATGGTGAATCAACAAGTTTAAATGAGAACAATTTGCTTTTAAAGTTGCCGTGGCCAAAAAGAAATTGGACTTATAACTGAATAGTAGTGTAGATGGGAATCTTCTATTAAGGGCCGCCACCTATATCAGTTTTTTCCATCCGTGCATGAGCGGCTGGAGAAGACATTTAGGTACACGCGCCGTAATTATTTCACGCCGGAGTCCTGTGAGACCGTAGTATTAGACCGGTGAAAGCAGCCCATTTGTGACAAAGCATTGCAATCTCACGTCCACTGATAAACTTGAATCTTTCTAACTGCTGTCTCCAACGCGCCTGCCAAGCGTTAATATGATGGCAAACCTTCTTGTATCGGCGACGGCGACCTCTCACATCCGGCCCTAGTCCGGGTCATGATGGGGAGCGAGGTTGAATGGGATGCCGTCTCCTCCTTTTGCGAAGCAGTCATGCTAGCTAAGGAGGAGGCGGGACGCGTCCTCGCAACCCAGCCATCGCAAAAGACACACCGGGCGTCGAGGATCGCGGGATGATCTCCGGCCACCGTAAGCGCGGGCCGGAAGACGGCGAGGATAGGTAGCTCGCCGCCCAACCTGAGAAATCATTCTTTCATTCATCAAGGATGAATCTCATAGATGCTATGATGATGATGATGATGATGATGCTAATGAAAATTAGAATGTAAGAATGTAAAAATATGTTTAACGGTTGTTTCCAGGATTTCTACCAAACAGTGGGTACAACGAAAGGTGCGTTGTTATTCGCGGTGTATCGAGGCAAAGTGTCGGAGGGTATGGACTTCAAGGACCAGCAGGCGAGGGCTGTTATCTGTGTATGTACTTAATTTAAGTAAAAGTAAACTAACTTTTGGCAATAAGTAAAAAAAATACACTGTACTGAACACGAATGACTATCGCAATCGTAACGTAATAGTATCGAGTGCGTTCGGCGTAGTGATGTGCCGTTCTCGAGAACGTTCTCCTACCTGAGAATATTGCCGGCAGCGTTCCCGGCAACGTTCTCCTAAGTGAGAATGACTGAGAATCATTTTTATGTAATGGGAACAACCATCTTTTTCTAAAATAAAATAGTATCAAATGAAGTCAACAGATTATTGAGTATAAAAAATACACTTTATTTGCAGTAAAAGACTATATTCCCAGTGTTAGCAAATATTCTCGAGAATATTCTCGGGAACTTTCTCGGCAATGTTCTCAGCATTACTGTACCTTTGATAATTTTTTTTTGTGTTATATTGTTTTATTGATATGGACGATGACAGCACTTTATTTTTACACGTATGGAAATAATGGACGGTTAAAAATGTTCGTTTAATTGTTTTAGGTACAAATAAAATGGTCAAAATCGAACAATATTTCGCAATCAACTCCGTTTAATGAGACTAGACAAAATCAATTTCACTAATTACTACAATATTGACAAACATGGAGTGAACACTTTAATAAAATAAATCAACAGCTATATAAAGATGAAATCAACGGACTATGATTAAAAAAATATCGAATCAGAACTAACAATATTTAACGGCTTTCAGATACATATAATGAACACTTTGTAATCTGATTTTTTTTTAAATAGTATGATAATACCGTTCATTCTAATCTATCGCCAGACGATCTTCAAGATGTAATGGTTCTTCTTGAATATCCTGAAACTCGTTAAAATCAAAAGTTTCCATAGATTCTAGTATAGATTCTTCATGTTCTGAATCACTTTCGTGGTTTGCTGAGGTAGCTGACGCCGATTGAATCGTAGAATATAATTCGTGAGTTTCGTGACTCTGTGTTTGTATCTTATTGGAGGAATTAGGAGTTTTGTTCATGAGCTTCCAATTATGACCCACGTAACACAGTTTTCCAGCTAGATCAGTCTTTAATTTGTTCCTTTTCTGGGTATGTATGTTTGAAAATGTTGAGAAACTCTTTTCCACAGTTGCCGATGTTGAAGGTGTTCCCTAAGAACAGAGAGTATAGTTCCCTAAGATCGGAAAAGGAGGATCCTCCGACCAGGCGAGGTGATCGTGCCTGGCGGGCTTTCTGCCCAACAGTTGCTCGTTGGGATTTTCTATCCGTGTTTATTCGCTTGTAAACTTTGCATGTGCGATGTAGGATTCTTGTGACGTCATCCGTTAACATGTGGCATGCGTCGCCACAAAGGTATAGATAACATTTTTAAAGCGGCTCTTTCCAAATCTGAGTTGGGAAAAAATACGTTCCACCAAGACAAAGGTTGAACCGTGGATGCTGATTCCCAAAGAAAACTTTTGTCGTAAATGCCAATTCGTCTTTTGTAATTTGCTCTTCAAGGATTCTTGGTCCGTTTGTCTCGTATCCACACTGTGCAATGTTCATTATTGCCTGGCATCCATCGTGATTCGCGTTAGCAGGTAAAGTTGTACCTTGGTTGCCAGGGTCCAAAATAGCGGCTGCAAAATGAACTGATTTTAATGCATTTTGTTTTCTTTGTGTAAACTTAGCCAATATTTCTTCTAAATGGTTTTCGAATATTTGGATTGCATTTTCGGAATGAAGCAAATCTTCGATTTCTGTAAACGCTTGGTAAACTTAATTAATTTTTTTAGTTATCCAATCTACTGTTGGCTTAAAAATATTTACATGCCGCTCTATTTTAACCCAAAATATTTTTATATTTATGCATTTGTATTTGTAGTAATGATTTTGATTTTCTAAAGTTTTCAATGTAGTGTAAGTAACTGCCCCAGCTTGTCTTGACTGGTAAGATGAGGGATACTGTCACAGAGTTTTCTTGTGCAACTTTTTCGAACTCCGCATTCAAGAGATGTGATTGCGTGACCGATTTCACAATAGAAACAATGAATGAAAATATTTCTTTTATTTTGTCATTTTTCAAAATATCTCCAATGAGTAAATGTAGAGCGTGAGCTGCATTTATTGCTGAGTAACCGCCCACATTTAACCATGTTTGCTGCATTGTCCGTAACTATGGCCACAAACTTTTCAACCCCCAGTTCCTCTATAATTTTTGATATTTCGTCGCTTAAGAACTTTGCCGTATGCCTTTTTATCTAGCTTCTATACGCGTAAAATGATCGAACACTGGGTTTCTTTTACTCATTGTTAAAATTCAAAAATAACAGTGATAAACGCAACGTGTTAAGCCTTTAAAAGTCAGAAACACACTGATTTTCAAGTAACGCGAAACGCGGCGCGCGTTGGCCAAGAAAAGAATGAGCAGGACAGTAATATCTCTTACTCACTCATACCTTGCTTCTAAGGACTAGTCCTAGCGCCGAGGTAATAAAACAGAAACACTGTAGGTACATAATATCATCTATGAATGTACAAAAACATCGAATTACAAAGTAAACTTATTTTGTTGAGAACATTGAGAATATTCCCGGGAGCGTTCTAGTTTCTTGAGAATATTCTCACTGGCAATATTGCCGGCAACGAGAACGTTCTCAGTGGCACATCACTAGTTCGGCGCTCTGATTGGTTGGATTACTGGAGCCGGCCAATCAGAGCGCCGAACGCGCTCGATACTATTACGTTACGATTACGATAGTTATTCGTGCTTGGTATTCTGGTCGAGTAGTGTTAATTGGGTACTTGCCAACTAATCAAATTCAATACTTTATTCGAACTGTCAAAAACGACAGTTTTGTATGAATTTTGTACGAGATCGTGTATTGTGACGTCACGTTTTATAAGCGTCAAACAGCATACTTATTTCTTAAAAAATTGCCTGAATTGTCGAAAATATTAATAAAATATATACATTGCTATTTCATCAGGTGGGTGTACCATACCCGAATCTGTACGACACTGGCGTCAGCGCTAAGATGCAGTACAACGACAAGTATATGACGGAGAAGAACTTATTGACAGGCAAGGAATGGCTGCGAGTACAAGCGTATAGGTATGTATTGTAACTTTACGCTACTTATTCTACTGTAGAGAGGAGGTCTCTACCTCCTCTTTAGACTAATATATATTATTAGCGAGACTAATAATATATATTAGTCTCGCTAAACCTCGAGAACGGCTGAACCGATTTGTCTAATTTGTTTGAAATGTTCGTGGAAGTGTAGGGAAGGTTTAAAAAGTACAAAAACAAATTTTAGGCAGTACGTAGTTTGTCAGGTCAAGTAGTTTTAAATAAATTCATAGTTGACATACAATTTGTATCGCACACGGGTATCCTAGGGGTACTAGTAAGTATCAAGTGATTCACACGTTCGTTTGCCCTCCTATATCAGAAAAAAAAGAATTTAATTCAAAAACTAAGATCGATCAGTAGATTTTAGACTAAAATCGATGTTTAAATTGAACAATTTGTGTTTCAGAGCTCTGAACCAGGCAGTGGGTCGCTGTGTCCGCCACCGCGGCGACTGGGGCGCCGTACTACTGGTCGACTCGCGGTACAGGCAGGAGTACTACACTGAACATCTCTCCAAGTGGGTCAAACGATTTGTAAGTACCTTTGTATATTTACTATACTCCGTCTGTTTAGGTAGTTAACTATTTGTAAACAAACCATAAAAAGAGTTCTTTATAGTTGACATTTCCATGATTCAAAATACTTCATAAGAAAATAAAATTGTTTCCCTTTTTACGACAGTTTTCTCTATTAAATGTTATGTTACTGTTCCTTTTCACTTGTTTCTTAATAAATATTAAATATATCCGCTTGAGGATATTAATTTAATAACATTTATTAAATAATATAATATTTCATTACAATAGACACCATAAAGAGCCTAAAATCCCAGGTATCCAAAACGTTTCTTTAAGAACGAAGCAAAATAATATTGTCAAATTAAAGAGTACAACGAAGATGTAGCGCGACAATGAAAGTAGCGTGTATTACGTTTAGTCGGTTAATCAGGCGCCATTGACAGCTCTCTCGTCGTTTGCGCTCGCGTTCCTATTTTGTTGAATTTAACTTGTTTCTTTGTTTTGTTTTTGTTATTAAGTTATTTAAGTTTAGGTTATTCATCGTTTGTAATTAATGTGTTCAAATATATTGAAGAAACTTGGCCCAAAGACATAAATCCGTACAAGAAAGAAATCCGTACATCAGATTCAGAATAGTTTCTATTTAAACATGATAATGAAATAGACCCATAGGCTAGGCTCTTGTACGATTTAGGCATTTGTACTTGTATGTGTGTGTATGACAAATGAACGATTTTAAAGTGAATTTAGTTAAAATTAAAACACGAGAAATATTTGAAGTAATAGTAGGTTAAGTATCTCTGTGTCACGTGGTTTTCTTTGTTTACCTTTAGTTAATTACCTAAACAGTTGGACTATAAATGTACATCATGGAGCGCGGAGAGCCGGAGCTCCGGCTCGACGTTCAGGAGAAGGAACGGGGTGGTGTTTAGTCAGTAAGAGTCTGACACTCCCTCCCGCCTCACCTAGGCGGGAGCAGTCATTCGATGATTTTCGCCCCTTTTAAAAAAATCGTCATCATCTGCGGAGCAAAGGAACTACATTGTAATAAAACTTCCTATATCTATGTTTTAAATGTCAAAAAGTCTAGAAAAACACTTTATAAGCCCCAAATTAGTAGGTACCGTTTCTAAAAAGTCTCGGAGAATCTAACGGGTTGCCGGGGCTCCGGCTCGAAGTGCAGGAGAAGGAACGGGGTGGTTTTTAGTCAGTAAATGTCTGACACTCCCTCCCGCCTCACCCAAGCGGAAGATGTAATTCGATGATTTTTCCCTCTTAAAAAAAAGCATTACTACAAAGACTCCATGCTACTCTAGATAATTTTTCAAAATACCGAACAATGTCCCAATAGTCTTTCACTCGATTTGACTATCGAACCCGAGAGACCTAGTATTAGTAACGTGATCTCATTAATCTGTCAAACACCAAGCGGTCACCGGTGACCGCGACCTATTGTTCTTTAATTGTGTCTATAAAACCGGTACTCGACGAGTTAAATTTTTATATTTATTTTATAATTTTTAAAATTCTCATTAGTAGCACGGAGTCTGGAATTGTGCCCGGTATATGGCAATAGGCTCACCCCCTATTACATGGGACTCATAACATAAATAGTGAAAAGTGGGTGTTACATTGTACAGTGGCATAATGTGCACCTCTGCCTACCCCTTCGGGGATATTATGTTATTTGTTAATTTGAACTCATCTTGTCCACAGCTGGGCAACAACCACCACACGTACGAGTCTCTAACATCCAGCCCCAACGGCCTGGCAGCGTTTATGCAGAAAATGAAAATTATCGAAGAGGAAGAATCTTTGAAAACCTGATAAAAACCTAGTACTTAGACATATTAGGACAAACTGCCGGACTCAGGGACATTTAACTGATCGAACCCCAGTGCTCACCAGCGACTGTTTCCAATGTTTAGAGACTACTTTTGTATGAACTGGAGATTTATATCAGACTAGCTTTTACCCGCGGCTTCGCTCGCGTCACAAAAGGATAAAAAGCCTATGTGACATATACCAATACATACAGCGCCATCTATACCAATAATTTCGTTTTCTCTCGAGAATATCAATTTTTCCGGGATAAAAAGTACCCTATGATTTAATCCAGACTTCTAACTTTACGTCTGCAAAAATTCAAAGCAATCGGTTTAGTAGATACGGCGCGAAAGTGGAACAAACAAACAAACTCACTCACTTTATAATATTAGTAAGGATGATTGTGTACGAGTTAATGGTTACTTTAACTATTTCTTAGCAAGGAATTTGTTACCCAAACGTACAGGGCGTCGCTGTCAACGCCCGCCTCAGAGCCATTAGATTAACACAGATAGGACCCCAGTAGGTAGATAGATAGATAGATAGCCCCCAGGCGAGATAGTGGTCAAACGTCGGCCCATCAAATATATAAGAAGGGCTGATGCGCGATACGGAGTCGCGGAGAGCCTAACGGGTTGCCGAGGCTCCGGCTCGAAGTGCAGGAGGAGGAACGGGGTGGTTTTTAGTCAGTAAGAGTTTGACACTCCCTCCCGTCTCACCCAGGGTAGAAGTCGTTAAATGATTTTCTCTCGTCAAAAAAAAGTAAGAAATTAGTTATGAAATCAATTGCTAAGAACTGGGGTATTCGTTAAACTGTCAAACACCAAGCGGTCACCGGTGACCGCAACCTATTGTTCTTTAATTGTGTCTATGAATACGGTACTCGACGAGTTAAATGACCGTGAGTACGGCGGTTACAATATAATTTTTGTACTCCAAAGGCAGGTTTTGCTCAATTCCATTGTATAAACGCCCGAGTACTATAAGTCTACTAAATATTAAGTCTCGCTTAAGTATACTTCTGTCAGTACAAATTCTTATTAAAATGAGGAAGCGCTTCGCATCAAGCTTCCTTGTGCGTACTACTAAGGAGTGGAATTCTTTGCCAGAGTGTTTCTTGAAGGGTATAACCTGGGTGTCTTCAAGGCCCGAGTGAATAGGTTGCTTATGGATCGACGTCCTCCATCGTAGACCGCATCATCGCTTACCACCAGGCGAGATATTGGTCAAACGTCTGCCCATCTTTATATATATAATTCTTCTGTGAGTGTGTATGTCACTGAACTTCTCTCAAACTACTCGACCGATTTTGATGAAATTTTTTGTGTGTTCAAGGGGATCTGGGAATGGTTTAGATTCACAAATCAGCCCGGCAGATGGCGCTGCAGTCGATGTTTAGGTTATATATCCTAAACAGGTGAACTAATTTGAATGAATTTTTGTTTATACATTCAAGTGGATATGCACAACGTCCGCTAGTCTAATACAAAAAATGACAGAGACGGCACGATATTTAAGTACAAGTTAAAATTTAGTAGTCTTTCAGTATTCCGGTGTTATTAAGTTAAATTTAAGTCAATTGTCAATAATTGAAGAAATTATGATATATTTTTGTATCTGGTAATCAACGATGAGATCTGTTGTAATAATTATGTATAATATTAAAATTATTAAGCATTAAATATGATTTGTTTACATACAATGACTTTTATTTCTACTCTACCCTACGACTATCGTTTATAGGACTTATTACACTGCCAAATCGAAACAGATAGAATTGAAACACTGCGTTTAAAAAACCCGACTACAAAAACTAAAGACAAACGAAAAACAAAAACTAAAAAGGAAAGAAATGTCTATTATTGGTCATACGTACTTATAGCTTACACACCCACTGACAGGTTAGAAGTCAGTGCCTCAACCTTTTTTTGAAGTCGGTTAAAAATTAACATATGTACATCTACAAAAAATAATAGGATACTTTAGTCATAAACACTGTCAGGATTACTTTCAAAGAAGTAGGTATATAAAAAAATGAAGTCTACAAAGACCTCTCTTTTACCTACCTATAATTTGGGGCCCTAGAGCGGCCCTAAGCTCTCCATCAATAGCCTTTTGCACCTCAACAAATTTTATTACTAATCAAACATTTTGAACAGACTTCCACTTCAGAATACACTGACCCATTCCATCCCAAGGTCTCATAAAAGGGTGCCAAAAATTCGCCTTTAGTCTTCGGTATATTCCAAGATTTGCAATCGGACTAGAACAAGACCAGTCTAAGCTGTCCTATCCTCGAAAATTATTATCGTGCGTAAGTTGAGTTTACAGACTAGGAATGGGCGTAGGCCCATTTTATCCCAAGGTCGTGCCCACCCTATCAAATAATTTTTCCGAGAGGCACACGCCTCTCGGTCTACGTAATAGTATGAATAATTGTCGCACTGTCAGCACTTTACTAGACTGATACAGTAAGCCTGTGGGGTAGCGGTACGGTCTGTGCGTGGCGACTTTCAAGGTGGCTCTTTGCGCTCGTTCTATTGGAAGTATCGATGTTTTTCTACTTCCGCCTCAAGAAGTAATGCAGTATTGAATTACCGATTGATTGGCTTTATTAGCTTGTGATCAACCACAATTTCTTGAAGACAAATATCAGTTTCCGAACTCTAGATGGTACCTAAAGCAGCAATAAAATAAGTACTACGATTAGCTGTTTTTAATTATTGTTGCTTTATACTACCCTGGTAGATAAATTATACCAGATAATTAACCAATAGGTAGTTTAATTTCATGGAAACTAATTCTTACCTACTTTTTTATACTTCTTACTAAGTTTTATGAAGTCCAGTATTTTGAGAATTTTCAATACAGAAATTTAGAAGTCAAGAAATACGCACAAATATGGTAAATTTTTCGAAATATTTAGAGGAATCGTGGTCATAAATGAAAAAACAACTTTCGTTACTTAATTATTTTATTTCTTTAGCTTTAATTTTTTAATATCACAGCTGTTAGTCTTCACCGGAACCTCTTCTAGGATCAGCAACGAACAGGCCTTCTGTTTCTGTAAACTGAAAATAAAGAAAAATTAACAATCAACAAGGGTGTTTCTCAAACTTAGACGATCCAGATATTTCGGATTAGAATATCGGTTATTGTTTGAATATTAAGCTCCAGGTGTGTTGCTGGACAGATGGGGCCTAACAAGGCTGATGCCGATACGGAGCCGCGGAAGACTTAACGGGTTGCCGGGGCTCCGGCTCGAAGTGCAGGAGTAGGAACGGGGTGGTTTTTAGTCAGTAAGAGTCTGACACTCCCTCCCGCCTCACCCAGGCGGGAGCAGTCATTCGATGATTTTCGCCACTCAAAAAAAAAAAAAAAGGTGTGTTGCTGGTAGTCTTGACTAATAAGACTTCGGTATGATACGAAAAGACTGTATTTAAATAGGTACTGATTGTAAGGGTGAACTGATAAGTGCGTACGGCGTCGTGTCGGGCGAGCGAGTGAGTAAATGATCACCGATCACAGAGGTCAAGGGCCACATTATAGTCATAAGCCCGATGTGACGTCTTGAACAGTTATTAATTTCGAACGTTATTAAACTCTCTTCTTATGTACCCCGGGAAATCTATTTTGTTTTCGTTTCGCGGCAAAAGAACTTGCCATAAGGGGTCGTCCATTAATCACGTGAGGCTCGAAAGGGGGGGAGGTGTTAGAAAAAAAATCACGAAATATCACAACGCGGGAGGGAGGGTTAAATTGGGATATCACGTGTATTTGTTTTTCATCGACAACTCGATTATTAAACAAAACGGTGGTGAATATGATTTTTATGCTAGTCAAAAACAACCTGCAACCTCAATGTCTGTCAGACATTTCTATCACAAAGCTAAACTTCCCAAAATTTTATCACATGATACCTGTATTTAAAGATGATATTCTGAAAACATCAATATACTTTCTGCTGAAAAAATACACGTGATTTTGGCTAGAGGGGGGAGGGGGTACCTAGTCTAAAACCTCACTACATATCACCAGAAGGGGGGAGGGGGTTAAAAAGTTGCTAAAAAACATCACGTGATTAATGGACAGCCCCTAAGGACTTTCGATGTATAAAGTAAAAACAAAAACCACGTCCATTATTTTCGTTTAAAAAAAATCGTGGAAATTACGCACATGAAACACTAGACGTGAGTACATTTGTAGGCACTATTCGCATCGCACGTAGCACCCGACGAGAAATACTTCTCCAAGAATACAATACATGGTGTGTTGTTTTGATAATGTACAATGAGTTTGTATGGGCTTTCGAAGTTTGCTTTTTGCAATGGTTCACCAGTATTTTGATTTTTGTTGTAAACATTTTATTTCTTTGTAAAACTATTCTATTACTAAAACTTGAAATGATTCTCATTTTACGGTGTACAAAGACTTATAGTCCAGTAGTAATAAGATTGCATGCTACTTTAGTTAATTTTTTATAAGATACTAGATAGGCGCAATAGACCATACAGATCATCATTACAAGTGATTGCCGGCCTATGGGGAGATTGGGTTTCACATATCGACCACACGGTTGGCGCGGTGGCTGGGCAACCGACTACCGCACGACATGCAGCGGGTTCAATTCCACGGAGCAACTCATTGTGTGACCCAGAAATTGTTGTTTCGGGTGTGGGTGTCATGTATTTGTAAAAGTACACGACACAGGAGAAAATCATAGTATAGTATAGGGCAATAGTATATGAGTACTTACTGTTTAGTGCAATCAACGCCTCTCTCGTGTCGCTTGAGATGGCCAAGTTGCTGGAACTTTCGGTTACATATACTGCATGAGTAGGGACGCTCTCCGGTGTGACTCCTGAAGAATAACAACTTATTAATAGAATAATTATCATGTTATTGATAAGATGCCTGGCAAATGAGCAAATGGGTCTACCAATGGTAGGTAATCGATCAGCGCGAACGCATAGACATCTTATAAAACCGGAAAAGTGACATTTTAAATAAAAAAGTGCGTTGCTGGTAATTTGAAAAGAAATACATTATTTTCTTGAAGGTTTGAATATGGAATCGATATCGATATAACATCGAATATTTCCTATATTTCATATTTTATTGTAATTAACAGTAGAAATAATTTACTTTTGACTACCCAAATAAGTACCCAATTAACTACACTAAAAGCTACGTAAATAGGTGTACTTCTGCTTACCTCTTATGTACGACGAGGTCGCATTTCTTGAAGAAGCTCTTCTTACAACCTTTGTAGTCACACGCGTGCGGCGTCACACCGTCGTGGTCGCGGAGGAAATGGTCTTTTAACTGAAACAATAACAGAATCGCTCATTAAGCCCTGAAACTTAGACAAATAAGTTAAAGTGTGGGAGAGCCATGCTTCGGCACGAATGGGTCGGCTTGACCGGAGTGATACCACACAGAAACCCAACGTGAAACAACGTTTGCGTTGTGTTTCGTCGTGTGAGTGAGGTTACCGAAGGCCCAATTACCCCCTCCCTAGTCTCCCGAATCCCCGAATCCTCCACAATCCTCAAATTCCCAATTCACAAAAGGCCGGTGACGCACTTGTAACGCCTTGGTGTTTCGAGTGTCCATGGGCGGCGCCGATTGCTTCCCATCAGGTGATCCGTCTGCTCGTTTACCGGCTTATGCTATAAAAAAAATGTCAATAAAAAGATATGTCACACCCTGACCCGGAACAACAAGCCTGGGTTGCTTACAGCTCATTCAATGAAACCCTCTAAATAGGAATAATGTTTAATTTTTAATGAATGATAAATATTCGGTCCTTTTACTAGTATGACGCGTCGCTCAGTGATTTTTATAATCTATATAATTATATAAAAATGAAACCCGTTTCCCGTTGTCACTCCATAACTTCAGAATGGAAAACCGATTTTGCGCTGATTTTATAACAGAAAAAATCCTTTCCTACGGGAGCGGGAGAAAATGGAATTGCGCGTACAAAGTCGCGGAAAGAACCTATTAAATTTATATAATCATTTTTCTTATTACTATATAATAAACTAGCGACCCGCCACTGCTTCGCACGGCTGCAATATGCATGTATAATGCAATATACATATAAACTTTCCTTAAGAATCACTCTATCTATAAAAAAACCGCATCATAATCTGTGCGTAGTTTTAAAGATCTAAGCATATATAGCGACAGACAAGCGGCGGATAGCGATATAATGTAGTGATACATAACACATAACATAACATAACATCACGCCTTTTTATCCCCGAAGGGGTAGGCAGAGGTGCACATTATACCACTGTACAATGTAACACCCACTTTTCACTATTTATGTTATGAGTCCCATGTAATAGGGGGTGAGCCTATTGCCATATACCGGGCACAATTCCAGACTCCGTGCTACTACTGAGAATATTAAAAAAACCCAGTAATACTTTGCCCGACCCGGGAATCGAACCCGAGACCCCTTGTCCGGCAGTCGCACTTACGACCACTCGGCCAACGAGCAGACGGATCACCTGATGACAAGGAATAGCAACACCAGATGAGTACCGATGTATACCGGTATTTTAGTTAATGAAGCATAATCGATAGATTATAAAAAAAAATTACATTATAATAAAAAATCTTTACAAAATATAAAAAACTCACCATCCAAGCATGATTAAAGTTTTTATCACAGATATTACAGCTGTGGTTTGGCAGCACTGTAGGTATGTGTTTGGCGCGCGTGTGTTTGTTCAGCGTCGACTGGTAACTGAACTGCTCGCCGCAAACCTTGCACTTGTACTGACGGAGAGACGGCTCGTGGGTCGCTGGGGAGATAAGTATAATAGAAATAATATTTATATTGGCTGAATCAAATATATACACCAAACCATCTTTTAATCAGGGCACTTACTCTTGAAACCATTGTCAATGCAATTTCAGTCCAATAATATCTCAATAATTATTCAATGTCAAAACTATACAACCCCTATCGTAGCTGTTAAAATAGCATTCAGAGTACGGAATATAAAGACAAACTCAATACCATTTAGTTCAATCAATATCCACGCAATACGGATGCAATAGGCGCTAGTGTTACAACTCAAGAGTACGAATTTTCACGAATGTCAATGTTGATCGATCGGAATTGGACTCAAGAGTAAGCCCCGGGTAAACTATTCAGAGATGCCGAACCAGTTTCGTCATTTGCCACATACAGTTTATTATTTCTTTATTGATATACTATTAAGAGCTCTGGTATGGCGCGAAATTAGTCGGGCGTCCTCGAAAGTTAGAGATAAGTAAGATGCTATTTTTTCACATTGTGTCTTTAAAATAATTCATAATTATTATTATACGATGTTTTTTTATGGGATAAACCGGTAACGAGCAGACGTATCACCTGATGGTAAGCGCAATCGGCGCCGCCCATAGACACCCGAAACAAAAGGAGCTTTACAAGTGCGTTACCGGCCTTTCGGGAATTGGGAATTTGCGTTTATCATTGTTAAAGTATAATTAAGCCATAGGGCTAAAATTAACGTCGCCAACAACTTAAAATTAGAAATAACAAGTTAACAAATACATACCTATATGAGACTTATAATTATTCTTCCTCTTAAACACTTTATTACAGGTCCGGCAGATATACAAGACTCTCTTTCTCGCCTTTAAAACCCGTGGCTTTTTACTGACATCTTCTAAAGGACCACTAACCTCCTTTAGCACTGTAGGATTGACTGGACAATCATCAACCATCTTATGTTCTTTACTTTCTCCTTTCACTAAAACTTCTAAATTATTATTATTATTACTTTCAGGTACAATCTCCTTCTTATTGTTATCTACTAACTCAACACCTATATTTAACATATCCGTAAGTTGTTCAGCATCAATTTCACTATTCAAACTTATAATGAATGTATCATCATCTTCAGTAGAAATGTACTGGACGCTATTCTCACCGATCAATTGGTTCAAATTCGCTGCTAAATTAGTACTAGCTTCTAAATCTACATCACTTTCGAATATAGTCGCACATTCGTCAACTGCCACGTGATTGTTACTATATTCACTAACTTTTTCAGACGGTTTCACTATCTCAGGTGGATTTAGCAACTCTTCGGGAAGATACTCAGCTTTAACATGGAACAGCGTGTTCATTATATCTTGGTCGCTACTTTTATTTGTGTCTGTATAGTCAAATAGTATTTCTGTATTTTTGTCCGTTGCATAGTCGATTTCGGTGTTATTATTAAACATATGGCTGGGTTGTATACTGTCAAAATCCATGTCGTTGTAAAATAGTTCGCCGTCTAATATGTGTAGTTGGTTCATTTCATCTAGAAGTTCTATTTGCATCAAATTTTCTGTATTTGTGTCTATATCATTCGTGTTATAGACGTTTAGTATTTCGTTTTGTGATGACATTGTCATGTAATCGTCCTCAGCGGATAGTATGTCGTCTACAATATTGTCTACGATTCTGTTTGTGTCATTTAGATTTTTGTCTTCTTTCTGTTGGTCCGGTTCTGATGGCTTCGAAGTTGATATCGTGTGTTGCCTGATGAAATAAGAATAATAATTAAATCATTATCAACAGCCTATAAATGCCCACTGCTGAGCAAAGCCTCTTCTCACACAGAGAAGGTTTGAGCATTAATCACCACGCTTGCTCAATGCGGGTTGGCGATTACAAACTTATAATTACAAATTATAAGCCTAAGTTTCCTCACGATGTTGTCCTTCACCGTTTGTCAGTGGTGTCTAGATAATCTTAGAAAGTACATATAACTCGGAAAAAGTCACACTGGTACTTGCCGTTGGTAGGTTTCGAATCCGCACCCTCATGCATGAGGAGCGGGCGTCTTAAACCTCCGGGCCACCACGACATCGACACGACACGACACACAATAATTAAATAACAATACACAAATGTTTACATAACCTTTATTTTATACTTATATGCTAATTGAATTATTCCTTGTTTGCCGAGTGATCGCAAGTGCGACTGCCGGGCAAGGGGTCTCGAGTTCGATTCCCGGGTCGGGCAAAGTACTACTGGGTTTTTAAAAAAACTCTCATTAGTAGCACGGTGTCTGGAATTGTGCCCGGTATATGGCAATAGGTTCTTTATAAAAGATTTCCCCCTCCTTGGGGGATAAAAGGCGTGATGTTATGAATGATTACTATAAATCGACATTAACATCAGATAATCACTAGATATATCGTACCGAAAATCCCCAAAATTTTTTCATACAAAAGTAGGTCTATAATGGAGTTAGAGAGAGCGATCACCGGTGACCGCTTGGAGATTGGTTAGTACTAAAGTCAGTGTCCTATAATATAGTAATGGACTCTTTACTCGAAACTCGACTCTTAACCCGTCGAGCGTCCGCGTTCCTTATGAATTTCCTTATCCTTATGCATGCAAGAAAATGCATTTATTTAATTGGCCATTGGCACACGAAAACAAGGATCATTACATTAGAAATAAAACAAATACAGTCAAAATAAAAACAAAACATTAATAATAGATTTTATAAAAGAGAAAGCAGCATGGAGCATTTTTTCTTATGATCCACCGGGTGCTCATAAGGACGCTCGAGGGGTTAACGCGGCCGAGTGGTCGCAAGTGCGACTGCCGACACATTATGCCACTGTACCATGTAACACTCACTTTTCACTATTTACGTTATGAGTCCCATGTAATAGGGGGTGAGCCTATTGCCATATACCAGGGACAATTCCAGACTCCGTGCCACTACTGAGATTTTATTAAAACCTCAGCAATACTTTGCTCGGCCCGAGAATCGAACCCGAGCCCCTTGGACTTGCGCCCACTCGGCCAATGAGGCAGTGTAAATAGATAAAAATAATCATCATCATCATCATCAACAGCCTATAAATGCCCACTGCTGAGCAAAGCCTCTTCTCACACGGAGAAGATTTGAGCATTAATCACAACGCTTGCTCAATGCGAGTTGGCGATTTCAAACTTATAATTAGAAATTATAAGTTCAGGTTTCCTCACTATTTTTTTCCTTCACCGTTTGTCAGTGGTGTCTAAAATAATGTATAATATTATGTACCTGACACAATGTTCTAACAGCGCGCTTTTGTACTGGAAGCTCATGCCACAGACGCGGCAGTAATTCTTTCTAGCTCCTTTATCTATAGGCTGAGCGGTCGACATGTATAGCACACAGTTTTCAGTGTGCCGGTTCAAGGAGGCCACCTGTTAGGAACAAATTAATTTTTAAAATAATAATGACAAAAAAGTGTCATTGCTAAGATTAAAATACTCGTATCGGAAATCCGATCCCAAACATGTTTGTATCATATAATCCGATCCCAACATCTCTAACAGCGAAAACTGATAACGAATGTCAATCCATAATCTTTGAATTAAGCGCCGATTTTTCAATCAACAGTTAATTCTTAAATTGTAGAAAAAAAATTGACATTTGACAGTTTTCAGTATGGACGAATTGGGAATCAAAAGAAAAAATATTATACACGTATTATTTTATTTTCTCCTATTAAGTTGCAATACTTAAATAAAATGGCGCTAAGTTTAGGAGTGGGAGGTTGTTACGTCATAACGTGCTAAAAATGTGGCACGCTCTGACGTCACACGATATTTCCAATTAAAATATCGTCGAAAGTATTTAATTTTGTGAGAAAAGAATAATACGTGTCTAAAGTTTTAAATGAATCTACCAGACGGACAATAAAATTCATTAAATATCCACGCAATACCGACTCAATGAGCGCTAATGCTGACACGCAAGAGTACAAAATTTCACAATACCAATGTTGATCGATCGGAATTGGATTCAAAAGCCGCCACTCGAGAGCCTTTCTGCCACTGCCACTTAAACTTACTAAACCTTTAAGGTTTTTTTAAGCCTTTGACTGACGACAGAAAACTGCTGAAGGCAAATCCTCCGCTAACGTAGGTCACCGGTAACCTACGTGGCGGTTAACGTGTTAAATATCACGGGAAATATCAAGGAATCCGAATCCGCTGGGCTGGCGGCGACCTTTGTTCGTTTGCGGGTTTCCCCATTTTTATCCGATCTCGCAAAGAACTCCGAGCATAGCCCTTTCCATAGCGCACTGAGCGACCTTGGTCGTCTATAAAGCCCAAAGTAAGAGACCACGTTTCACACTCCTAAAATAAAATGTAAGTGCAACGAACCTGTTTGAACTTGGTTCCGCAGCCGCTGCAGCAGTAAGGCTGTATGTTCCCGTGTCGCAACATGTGGCGCTTCAGGTTGGACTTGTCCTTAAAACGCATCTCACACTCCGGACATGGGTACTTGTTTACATCTGTTGATAGATTTATGTAGATATTATTATGTATTTTACTTGTATTCATGAACTTAGTTACACTTTTACCTATTCTTGAGATGTGTCTTGGTACTAAACTTTCAATATCAGGACATTACGAACAATAAAAAACTTAAAAACATTTAAATTGTCGATTACATTCTTAAAAAATTGCGTTTCATAAAACCGACTTCAAAAACCAAAAATTAAAAACAAGCAAAAGGTAAAAACTAAGAAGATTAAAACAACTATTATTAGTCATAAATTCTTAAAGTTTGGAAGTTGAAGCCAGTCAGTTTGTTAGTTTGAACTCGCTAATCTCAGCAAATACTGGTCTGATCTAAAAAAAACTTATTATGTTGAATGTTGAATAGCCTATTTATCGAGGAAGAGTATGGACTATAAAGCATCACATTACGACCAATAGGAGCCGAGCACAGTGGGTGAAAAAGCGCAGGAGTAGTTACTTTTTTATTTTAATTAAAATTTTGTTATCGTACCATTGTGCATATCTTTATGCTTCTTCAAGTCCGATGGTTTGGCAAATGCTTTCTCACATTGATCACATTTATGTGGCCTGGAAAATGACATTAAGTAATTAATAAAAACCAAGCATTAACAATTAAATATAGCATTAACCTCTTATCTGCCAGCAACACAATAGAAAACTCATTGTGTCTCACATACATCTACGTTCCGGCATACAACGGGTTAATAATAATTAATGAAAGGCAAGCATAAACAATTAATATAGCATTAATAATTTATAAAAACCAAGCATTAACCCTTAGAGCGCCACATCAGTCACCGGTGCCTGACGCTATTGGAGGTTTCACTTTCACCATTTTAAACTTGGCAGTTAAAGTATTAAAAATTAACATATTATGTGAACTATTTTTTAGTATTCTTTTATTTTTCCTAACTTATGCGTTGTCTGTCTTGAGTTATTCCGCACAGAAATTGAATTAGCAACACATTATGCAGCAGCTGGTTGCCCAGCCCCGGACCAACAATACAACCAAATTGTTTTACCATTACAAGTAAAACATATTGGTTTTGAATAAAATGATACTGACTTGTAATCCAAATGTTTAGCAAATAGATGCTGCTGTAGTTTCCAGAGAGCCTCAAAGGCCATGTTACAATGAAGGCACTTCCAATCTCTACCGAGAGGCTTGTGAGTGAGACCATGCTTCATCAACTGCTGTTTTGTTGAGAATTTCTGGTCTGGACATTTTTCTGAAATTAAAAGGGTACAATATAATACATACATACTGAAAATGAATATGACGATGATAGAAAACTTGTCAAAAGTGCAGAACTTGATATAAGTTTAATCGCGAGTGCCTTGCCAAATAATTACTCGATATAGGTTTAATAGTTGAGTTCCTCATAAAATAATTTTGTGAGTAGGCCGAAAAACTTAATAATTTAGGTTGGATAAAGAAATAAAACTGACTTTTATTTCAAGAACATTTTTAAACTCTTTATTATCTGGACGGATTTATATTAAAAAAATGTTTCATAAATATTTCTATTGTGTTGAATTCAGTAAGTGAAGGTATTCTTTACTAATATTATATTATTATCCAATACTTAAATATTAGGTATTTATTTATACATTAGGTATTTAATACAATTTTTTTTATTATTACAGCACCATAATTAACAATGTTTACTATTGTAAACACTTACCACAAACCCACAAGTTATCCTTAGAATGAACTCTAAGATGTCCATAATACTTCTTGGCGTTATCAAACTGCTTCTTACATATCTCGCAGTGCAGAGTAGTAGGTCCATTCAAGTCAGGTTCCTCCAGAGGCTCGTCCCCAGACAGAAACTGGGCCAACACATCATCGGGCCCCAGTAGAGACCCATGCGAAGGTAACGCAGCATGAAGTCCATCATACGCACCCTCCGGCTTTATTCTCCCAAAAAAGTCTGAAGTCTCCGTATCCGCGAACTAAAATAAGATTTACATTGTAAAATAGCACTACATTTGGGACATTTTAGTAGCCGTTTTTCGTGTTTAATGTAAACAATCGATACTTACTGGAAGACTAAAAAATGGTAAATTCGAATCCATATTTGATATACATGTGAGTAACTGTTTATTTACACATTATTAAGAAAAAATAAATGAATTTATTGCAGAAAACACAATAGTTTTTTTTTTCCGTGGGACATCTGTTTTGACAAGAAACAAGAATGACAAGATGACAACTATGAATATGACAACACAGTAGTTCGTCATTTAAAGATTGTCGATGGTTTAAATATTTTACTAAATTTCTTAAAAGTTTTTGTTGGTCAGGAAAAAATTAACATCTTCCATGTTTAACGTAATTCTCTCGTTCACTCATTTAAAATATAATAGACTTTAAAGATCTTCAATTTACTTCAAAACATTGTGATTTTTCCGAGTCTAAAATCTCTCAAAATCCCGCAATCCCGAAACTCTTATTACATGTCGTTCCTCTATTTCTGACTGATGTGACGGAAGTTCGAATTTCAACATTTTAGTTTTGAAATGTCAAAATTATCAATCAGCTGATCGGAAAATAGTTATTTAAATTTCAAAATAAAAGGGTATGTTTGAACAGTTTAATGCGTAAATCCATGCCTTAAATACACATAAATTGAAACATACATATTTAACCGACAGTGCTGAAGGCCCAGTAGCCTTAAGCTTAAGGAATGTAATTTGAAATATTTGCACACTGCACACACAATCTCACCTACCTAGCCAAAAGTTTATTGTACCTTGCTCTGTAGATAGAACAAAAGAAATACTGATAACATGTAGTAAACGTTGATAAGATTTGTCACTGTTCGTGTGCAAAATTATTTAACTTTTAAGGTGTTTTTAGAACAGTATTTGTTGTTAGTCAGTAGGTAAGTAAGTTGTTTATCATAATATCTTTTCTAGACTTATCACTAAAAAATAATTTATTTACTAGTATAGTTTTCAGTCCGTTCTATTTTTAAATATGATTAGAGGCATTATGCAGTGTGCAAAATTTCAAGTAAAGTATTCTTATACTTGTAATTTTACACAGTTTACAGTATATGTATTTTAATTTTTTTTTGTAATTCTCGAAATAAAATAATTTAATTTGAATAACTCTAGATAAATATTGTTTCAATTTAAATAATGATTTATAATATATTTATGTAGATAGAAATTAAAATAAAATTAGAAAACACATAAATATTACTTGAAATATTAAGCTTATTTATTTTACATTTTTTCAGACACGAAAAATGTGTATCCTATTCATATACAATGGCAACAACGATTCAAAGAGCGACTACAGTTTGATTCTAGCGTCGAATAGAGACGAGTGTTATGACAGGCCCTCGCAAAATATGGGTCCCTGGTTTGAGGACCCTAGTGTGTTTGGAGGTGGATATTTTATAATTCAATCATTATTCAACTCACTTTCACCCAACTTCAACATGCACATGTAGGTAACGATAATAAAATATCATAGTCATCATTATTCAATATTTTTTTTTAACTCATAATTTTCTAATCTTCATAATTCATTTTGCACCATTCCTACTGATTTTATAGCTCAAAATAAATAACAAACGTCGACAATTTTAACTAAAAATCGCGGGTTACTCACGTGAATATACTGCTGACTGAGCTGACTCGCCCCGACTGCGCATGCTGCTCATGAGAAAGAACCCCTCTGTGGTTCAAAACTAGTAGAGGTTTTCTCAGTATATTCACATGAGTAACCCGCGATTTTTAGTTAATTTACTATGTCTCACGATAGTCGTCAATTTTGTTAAAAATTGTCTTTCCTTGTAGGCGACTAAAAACGACGACAGCGCCACCATGAGATGTATTTTTTCTTTTTGTTGATCAAACTTCACTGCATGAGTTATTATTGTGTAGTTGAAAAATTTTCTTCAGCTTCACTAAAGAGCTGCCAGAGGTCAGCCAAGACGAAATCGTGGTGGCTTTGGGGCAGCTTAAAAATGGAAAAGCCCCCGGTGAGGACGGAATTACGACGGAGCTCCTTAAGGCAGGGGGAAAACCGATTCTCGAGCGGCTCCAAAGTATATTTAATTCCGTCCTCTTCACGGGGAGAACTCCTAGGGTGTGGAGCAGAAGCATTGTCGTTATGTTCTTCAAAAAAGGAGATAAAACCCTTTTGAAGAACTATCGTCCTATTTCTCTTTTGAGCCACATCTATAAGCTGTTTTCCAGGGTCATCACGAATCGTCTCGCACGAAGGCTTGATGAGTTTCAGCCCCCCGAGCAGGCTGGGTTCCGAGGAGGATATGGCACCATGGACCACATTCACACGATGAGGCAGATTATACAGAAGACCGAGAAGTATAATCGGCCTCTATGCTTGGCGTTCGTGGACTATGAGAAGGCCTTTGACTCTATCGAGATCTGGTCTGTTCTGGACTCCTTACAACGGTGCCAAGTCGACTGGCGATATATCCAAGTGCTGAGAGAACTGTACGAAGCTGCGACTATGGCCGTCCAAGTACAAAATCAGCAGTCTGTACCTATTCACCTGCATCGAGGAGTGAGACAAGGGGATGTTATATCCCCCAAATTGTTCACAAATGCTATGGAGGATATGTTCAAGACACTGCATTGGAAAGGACGGGGCATAAACATAAACGGCAAGTATCTCTCACACTTGAGATTTGCAGATGATATCGTCATCGTGGCTGAAACCGTTCAGGACTTGCAATATATGCTAAGCAGCCTGGCTGATTCTTCCGCGCGCATTGGGCTCCGGATGAATTTGGACAAAATAAAAATAATGTTCAATGAACATGTCATTCCCGAGCCAATTGTTCTCAAGGGGTCGCCTCTCGAAGTCGTTCAGGAATACATCTACCTAGGACAAACCCTGCAGTTTGGTAGGAACAGCTTCGAAAAGGAGGCCCGTAGAAGGATACAGCTTAGCTGGGCAGCATACAGACAACTTAATCAAGTCTTCTCGTCTCAGATACCGCAAAGCCTGAAGACAAAAGTCTTCAACGAGTGCGTCCTTCCAGTAATGGCATACGGAGCCGAGACGTGGACACTGACAGTGCGACTGGTCCACCAATTTAAGGTCGCGCAGCGAGCTATGGAGAGGGCTATGCTCGGAGTCTCTTTGACGGATCGAATCCGAAACGAAGTGATCCGACAGAGAACCAAAGTTATCGACATAGCCCAAAGGATCAGTAAGCTGAAGTGGCAGTGGGCCGGTCACATTTGTCGAAGAACCGATAACCGTTGGGGTAAACGTGTTCTAGAGTGGAGACCGCGTCTGGGCAAACGCAGTGTAGGGCGCCCTCCAGCTAGGTGGAGTGACGACATCTGCAAGGTGGCTGGCAGTGGTTGGATGAGAAGAGCTGAAGACCGAGCTCAGTGGCGTGCCATAGGAGAGGCCTATGTCCAGCAGTGCACGAATACAGGCTGATGATAATGAGTTGAAAAATTTAATTATTATTTATTTTTAGGTCGCGATTTAGAAGTGGAAGAGGGAGGTACCTGGCTAGCATTGTCACCTTTACGTAAAAAACTAGGTGTTCTCCTTAATTTGCCAAGTGCTAAGAAGCCAGACGCTAAGAGTGAGTAATATTTTGTAAAGTTAAGTTATTTAATTATTTTACCGCAATAAAGCAAGCGACAGTAGCCTGTCTTGGATAGTAACGAAACAATGACACTATTTTTAAAATGTTCATATGATGATTAAAGGGGCAATGAAATTTTGTTTTTCTTCCTTATTTATAGGTAGAGGCAAAATCGTCGCGGACTTTGTAAAGAATGATAAACCGATCAAAACCTACGTTGAACAAATGAAATCATACGCTCACAATTGCAATGAATTCGTTTTCGTAAGCATTGAATTTAAGTATGTTTTATTTTTTATTATTTTTTTAGATAATGTTTTAATTACTTGAAGAAATGATATTTGTAAAAAAATATTTCAGGAATTTATTCCCCATAATATCTACATACAACAACGCGAATGATGAGCTAGTCACCCATAGGGACGCGTTCCTGGGATTCAGTAACAATCTACCACAGAAACCGCTGAAGAAGGCGGAGGCTGGTAGGAATAAGCTGCAGCAGATTGTCACGACTTTCAACAAAGTTTCTACGCAGGATGAACTCATTGATAGACTGATTGACCTTCTGAAGTGGGAAGAAAGGTAACTACCTACCTATCTACCTACCCACCTACCTACATTTTTTTTAAGGGGTGAAAATCATCAAATGGCTGCTCCCGCCTGGGTGAGGCGGAGGGACTGTCAGACTCTTACTGACTAAAAACCACCCCGTTCCTTCTCCTGCACGTCGAGCCGGAGCCCCGGTTACCCGTTAGGTTCTCCGCGACTACCTACCTACATAAAGCAATTGTTATAGAATAGAGGTAAAACGAGCTGTCGGATCGCCTAATGACATGGAAGTAATCAATACTACTTGTACATAGTACCTACTTATTCCTTCCATGCCTGATCGTAAGCGATTGACTTCTGAACCGTTAGTTGGATATAGTCACTGCCGCCCGACTAGTAAACGTCATTTTTATGTGGGTAACACAGAGGCAAATTAAACACAGAGAGCGCTAAATTAACTCAAAATAGCGGGTTACGCGGTTACTCACGTGAATATACTGAGAACAGCTCTACTAGTTTCGAAACACAGAGGGGTTCTTCCTCATGAGCAGCGTTCGCGGTGTCGATGTCGCGCAGCCTACTGGCTACTACTACAGCCGCGACCGCGCACGCTGCTCATGAGGAAGAACCCCTCTGTGGTTCGAAACTAGTAGAGCAGTAGAGCTTTTCTCAGTATATTCACGTGAGTAACCTGCGATTTTTGTTAATGAAGTAACTATGTCCCACGATAGTTATTATAAAAATATAGAGAGCACTCTGCTCCTCATAGACGCCCCTTATTTTTTTGGCCCCACCTCGAAGTCTATGAGCAGTTGGGCACGCGGGACTCGAGGCGCCCCTCTGCACCTGGCGCCCTAACCACTTGCCTAGTTTGCTTTAAGGATAATAATTAATATGGCTCTGAAATGCCTACATTATACTTGTTGTCTATAGCCAATCGTCGCAATGAAAAGGGTAATTAGTTGAGTCACAAATGCAATGACTGCCTCGTTGGCCGAGTGGGTGCAAGTGCGACTGCTGGTCAAGAGGTCTCGGGTTCGATTCCCGGGTCGGGCAAAGTATTGCTGAGGTTTTAAAAATCTCAGTAATAGCACGGAGTCTGGAATTGTGCCCGGTATATGGCAATAGGTTCACCCCCTATTACATGGGACTTATAACATAAATAGTGAAAAGTGGGTGTAATGTGCACCTGTGCCTATCCCTTCGGGGATAAAAGGCGTGATGTTATGTATGTATGTACAAATGCATTGCTGACTTTAAAAAAATATTAATCGTTTTAAAGCAGAAGACGTGTAACTAATTTATTCGTAAATTTTTCAGCCACCTTCCCGATCACCAGTTGGAAACAAAGCAACCGAATTTGTATAACGAACTCAGCTCTGTATATGTTTGCATACCTCAAGGACGATATGGAACTAGGTATTGACAATATACAATTTCATAATTATTATGATATACAATTTTATTATTTGGAATTTTTTTAATGTGACGGCTAGACTTGAATCTCGCACAAAATAGTTCCGTGCAGGAATTGAATCTACGACACTGCACGAACGTAAAATCAATCTTAAACTCAACAATAGTTATTCTAGAGTACATATTCGTGTGCGTTACCCAAGCCAGATGTTGTCAAAAATGGTCATTTGAATCTTATAATTAGTTTGGCGGCTTCTGGAATTGGTGCGCACATTTTTAAATTTGTTGCGCTTATAGTTTATTAATTATTTCACAAAAACATTTCCTGCTGGGGTAACGTTACCCCAGCCAGACCTTTTTCTTTCTAATGGAAATATTTAAATACTATACTATACATACTACTACCTATAAAATTAGTGGCCTAGATGAACTAAATGTTGTTCCTTATTTTATAATTGTTCTTTCATCGGTTGCGAAGTTATTCGCGATTTTGCTGGGGTAACGTTTTTGGTTTTGCTAGATATTTGAAACGGATTCTTATCAAATGTTGTACATGGCTTCTTAGGAATTAGTTTTTTGTTCTGCAATGAAAAAAACAAAATAATACATACAGCGTTTTTGCTTTTTCAAAACCACCTAAACTTGACGGGTTACCACGGTCATTCACTTCCTAATAACTTTAATCGTATTATCGCATTAATTATCGAATGTACTGAGCTGAAATTTTACTGATATACAACTTAACTACTAATCCAATAATTGACATACCATTCAGTTCATATATCCATCCAGTGGCCAAATAATACCGCGCGCATCAAGACCGTGCTCGTGAAGAACTCAATATCATCATAACTTGTTAAATACTTACCTAGTATTTAACAAGTAATCAATTAATTAATATCCTACTAATGAAGCTTCACATACATACATTTGAAGGCAGTTACAAGCTAGCTTACTAAGGCTATAGAGCTTATCTCAATAAGCTCTATAGCCTTAGTAAGCTAGCTTGTACTCAAGTGCTGGGAACAATTGAAGTGTTTTTCTATTTAATGAAATAACCTTTAGGCTATGTATTATTTTGGTTTTTTTATTGCAGAACATATTTAAACGAATTCCTAAGAAGCCAAAATATGATAAGAATCCGCTTATCCATTTCAAAGATGTAACAAAACCAAAAACGTTACCCCAGCAAAATCTCAAATAACTTCGCAACCGATGAAAGAACAGATACAAAATAAGGCACAACATTTACTTCATCTAGGCAACTAATTTTATAGCTAGTTATTATTTAAATATTCCCATTAGAAAGAAAAAGGTCTGGCTGGGGTAACGTTACCACAGCAGGAAATATTTTTGTGAAATAATTAAAAAACTATAAGCGCAACAAATTTAATAATAAAATAAAAACTGCGTTTAAAAAACCGACTTCAAAAACCAAAAACTAATAACAAACAAAAAGTCAATACTAAAAAGCAAAAAATAACTATTATTAGTACTGATAGGTTACCCACCCACTGATAGGTAAGAAGTCGGTGCCATAATTTCCATACATAATTATTTATCCATATATTATTATTAATATTCCATATAATTATTAAATTATTACATACCTCGTTGGCCGAGTGGTCGTAAGTGCGACTGTCGGACAAGGGGTCTCGGGTTCGATTCCCGGGTCGGGCAAAGTATTACTGGGTTTTTAAATATTCTCAGTAGTAGCACGGAGTCTGGAATTGTGCCCGGTATATGGCAATAGGCTCACCCCCTATTACATGGGACTCATAACATAAATAGTGAAAAGTGGGTGTTACATTGTACAGTGGTATAATGTGCACCTCTGCCTACCCCTTCGGGGATAAAAAGGCGTGATGTTATGTATGTTATGTATTACATAAATTATATTAAAACCTTAATAGGTATCTAATTCACAATTTTGTGGACATTAAGTTATATCATTATGATATGAGCTTATGGCACCGACTTCTAACCTATCAGTGGGTGGGTAACCTATCAGTACTAATAATAGTTATTTTTTGCTTTTTAGTATTGACTTTTTGTTTGTTATTAGTTTTTGGTTTTTGAAGTCGATTTTTTAAACGCAGTTTTTATTTTATTATTTTACCATTTTCAGTGTAAAGCTACATATACCCGTTTTGTTACTTATAATATAGGTACATAGGTGCAAAGTCCTCATCAATACAAATTAATCAAGCCCAAACTCAAGGTAGTTACTGTATACCGTTGAGGAGTTCCCTTAACAATTACAATTCTTCATCATCAGACCCTTAATGACAGCCCCACTCTATCTAGGTGTAAAGTCCTCATCAATACAAATTAATCAAGCCCAAACTCAAGGTACTTACTGTATACCGTTGAGGAGTTCCCTTAACAATTACACTTCTTCATCATCAGACCCTTAATGACAGCCCCACTCTATCTAGGTGTAAAGTCCTCATCAATACAAATTAATTAAGCCCAAACACAAGGTAGTTAATATAAACCACTGAGGAGTTCCCTCGACTGTCTGTCGGCTCCATCATCAGGTCGACTCCAGACCCTTATTAAATTGTAATGTTTAAAATTCGTAATTGAAAAACATAATAGACGCATTACTCCCCCATAGAATTTTCGAAAGTTCCCCTCGGTTTCCCTAGGATCCCATCATCAGATCCTGACTTCATGGAAATGGGACCATCTCGGGAGTATACCCTTTCAAACGAAACAAAAATTTTTGAAATCGGTCCACAAACGGCGGAGTACTGCGCGAACAAACAAAAAAAAAAAAAACAATCAGCCGAACATAGTACCTCCTCCTTTTTTTGAAGTCGGTAAAAATGTGCGCAACAATGACAGAATCCACAAAATTATCTATAAGATTCAAATGACCATTTTCGACAACATCTTGTCTGGGTAACGCATGCTACATATTCCTACAATACCCTCGAATTTTTTTCAGAACTCACACAATAGTGTTGGTCACTAAATCCGGACATATGAATGTAATTGAGATGACCCTCGTCGCGCCCATCGACCCAGTGAACCCAAAATGGACCAAAACTGAATACCAATTTGATATGGAACGGAAATAAAAAGTATTTATTGACTGAATAATGTTGTTTTTATTCAATATTATTTTACAAAGAGTAAAACAATTTTAAGTTTAGTCTATAAAGAAAAACACATAATAAAATGCAATTCTTCTAGATTTTAGAAGATATCCTGGCATGTAAGCACTTGCGGCTCAACCAAATAAGCGCTGGAGTGCTAAACTAACATAATGGATTTTAAAATAGATGTATTAAACAATAAATGAATAAATATTTTGTGTATTAAAAACATAATAAATACTTTTACACATATTACTGTTTAAATCACTTACATTTATTATTACTTTTTAGTAATTTTGCATTCCAGCACCTATTCATGCTATGGATGAGCCTAATTTTTGTGACATCCCAGAATATCTCATAAATAATTAAATACATTTATCCTCCCAGTAACATATTATTCTTCTGTGCGAAAATATCTCTCAATTTTAACAAAGTTAGGCACATTAAAAGACGCGTCCTGCTCCAAGGCACAGGCCAAAAGCTTGGGTACATTCAACACAGTACCGGAAATTAAACAGGGAAACTTGTTTTCATTATTTTCTTTGTACATAAACATTAATCTCTTGCTAATAAAGTCCCCACTCAAAGATACATTGCCTACTTCAACGTAGTCTTTCAACGATGTGGAATACATTTCAATAGAAACCCTCAGGGACTCCCACATAGCTAATTTATCAGCAGACACCAAACTCAAACGGAAATGATAACCGAGTTTGCTGTATGCAAGCTTCAAAATATCTATAAGCTCGTCAAAAAAATTATCTTGGTCTTGCTCCGTTTTTGTGGCTCCAAATATCTCAACAACAGATGATTGGCTAACGTTGAACAGGCTGTCTTCGTTAGACGTGGCTGGTACGTACTGCCTGCCCATTGTAAAGTACCTTAGTGGGAAAACTTTGGCATACATAACATTCTTTGCATGGTATGCAAGGAAGGAGGCGAGAGACCCACCTCCAGTGAGATGCAAGCGACTGTCTACATTCACCTTAGTGTCCTCATTATGATGTAAAATAAAACTTAAATCTGGGTTAGTGTGATCTTTGCCACATCCCTCGATAACCAAACTTTTGACGAAATCTGGATTTGAAAATTGTACAAAGTTACTATCTTTCAATATCTTGCTGAAGTAGAATTTTGCTCCGAGTTCAAATACTGCACCGGAACCGAGCAAGTAATAATTTTCATTCTTTTTAAAATCAATCATATTCAACTCCTTCCCAACTTCTAGGTGGTGTTTACAATTTTGTGGTTTTGAGAGGTGTGTGTATATTACTTTATTGTTTTCGTCTGGTGTCCGTGAATGTAAATAGTTAGGCATTTTGAGAAATTCCACAATAGCAGCTTCTTCGGCTGACCAGAGATGACCTTTTAGTTTCTTTATATTTTCTTTGATGAAATCACTTTGCATTTTAAGTTTTTTAGTTTCTTCACTGTCAGGTTCTTTCTTTATTAGTTTGCCTAGTTGTCTTGATATTTCGTCTTTCTTCTTGATGTAGTCTGCTTTTTTTGTATTGAGATCCTGATAAATTTTCCAAAGATTCTCCATTTTAACCAGGTCAATATCAGCCTTTCTTCTCTGTAGAACTTTTACGAAAGCATCTTTCTGATGAGTTTTTTCAGGAAAGTCAATATGTGGAGTTATGTAAACGTAATTTTCAGTAGCTTTAGCACCACTAACAAATAAAGCAGAGTGCCTTGTTTGTAAGATCTTACAGTCCCATGCCTTTCGGAATACACTGGTAAGTGTTTTACGCATCATTTTCGTTTGGTTTGGTCTTTTTACTGGGTGTCGCGTCGTCTATTATTGCATCACCGTCTTCGTCTGATTTCGCAACGTTTTGACCGACTATTTTCCTTTTACTTGGCTGTTTGAAGTTACCGTGTCCCGCTGCGCGCTCAGACTCTTCAATAGTATAAGGTTCTAGTTCTAAAGCTTTCAGCCTTCGCTTGTGGACTTTAGTTTTGAAATGATCGTTCAGCGACTGCTCGTTGATGAAATACCTCGCACAATGCAAACAATAATGTTGCGCTGCACCCGGCAGGTCTAAATCCACGTTCTGATTTAATAATTTTTCAGCGTTTTCTGTAAAACAAAATATTGACATTAGAAGAAACCTCACGAGAATTCCGCTAAGTATTTATTGTGCAATTTGTTATCAAAATGTTTTCGATAAACTAACTTGCTGTTGTAAAGCTTATTTATTCAATATTTCCAGTTAATAAATACCATATTATTAATAAATAACATATAAAAAGTTTAATACACAGACTCTTCTGCTCAAAATAGTAACCTCAAAATCTGACACAAAACCATGTGACAGTTACAAATTCGTAAACAAACTTTACCTTCTTTGATATCGTCATCTATTTGATCAAGATCCTTCTTTCTATTCCTTACTCTCCACCTTTTCTTCAGGTGGGTGTCACCGTGGTGATACTTTTTTCGTTTATATGTCATTTTAGTCGCAAAATATCGATTACCAGCCTTGAGCCTAACACAAAATGAGTTTGTGTGAAAAATATATGCCGTCTATGCACGTGAATATATCTATGTGTGCTTCTGTCAATTTCATCTTCGCAGTATCGTTGTCGTTGTCAACGTGACAAATAATTTTACGTTTAGAAATCAATGACAAATTTGAACTTGCCATCAAGGAATAAGAAACAAAAATCATGCAAAAATCATAACGTTGCATTGTAATTTCTGAGACACTGCAGCACATATTGTGGTTTACCTCCTTAGTAGTGTCTGACTTCTGAGACGGTAAACCACAATAGAAAGTTTAGTGATTCCTTGTAATATCATTTTTAGGTAGTACCTACAGATTTTTGGTCGTTCCCTACCTACCCTACAGAGTATTCCTCTTGATGCCCCCTCCCACACCCACATTTCATTCTGTCATCCAGGAGTCTTGAGCATCTCTCCGAAATAACAAAATGGCTTGAATTCGCCTTTAGCTGGGTACTTACTTAGCAGTGTAGCGCGTAACGTATCAGATACGGTAGGAATCAAGCGAGTACGTAGGCACGAGTTCGGTACGAGTCGCTCGCGCGTGGAGAGTCGTTGCGAGCACTGCGGATCTGGTAGCTCGCAGCTAGATACGCTGAGGTCCGTGGACGAGCCGTACCTACTTGCAGGTTGATACCGGTAATATGTTACGCGCTTTTGATTTGCAATCAAACAAACTAGGATGTTTTTGTTAGTACTTAATTATGTATTTAATTTACTCGTTTTCTACTGATAAAAAAATTGTTTGGTTAGGGTGTCAGGGTGAGAGAAATCAAATCCATTTTCATTTATTCATATAATATAATCTTACAATAATAAATTTCAGGGAAACAGTATCATACATGAATAAATACAATGCTAGTAAACAATGAACTTTCTTTCTGTATTTTAAGTTAATAAAATTTATTTTAGTAGAAAGAAAGTGTAAACGAATCAACAATGTTACTGATACATGACCGTACCGAATTATATTGATAAAATGATAGGAATGATTTGAATGAATCATTTAACATCAATGATTATATTTTGCAACTCGCAACCGTGAGTATGATGTAACAGTGAGTCGGGGATGGTAGTTGACTCAGGCACTGCTTGTTACATAAAAATACTCCATACTGTGTCCGGTCACATGACTTAATTATCTAGTGAAGGCATCAATAATGTCTTACGACAACGCAAAGTGAAGCATCACGCGTGTACTCGAATCTCACACGTTCAAACATTACACAGAATAACTCCATACCACTAATTCCGCCTAAACTAAATCTAAATGTATCTAGAAAATATTTCATTTACCGCAGAACAACACGGACATAATGCTCTTTTATTTAAATCAGATAATTTCAACTGGCTCATAATATGAATCAAACTCATTATATACATATAACAATATTAATATAGACTGAATTTGCAGTATCTGTTTGTTTCAATCAATTTATTGCACGGCATATAATCTGAATATGTGAAACAATGTCAGTCTACCCATAGATTCTATATCTCACAATTTTTCATAATAAAAAAATGTGATCCTCATTATAACTGCTGATTAGTAACAAAAAATAAAAAATAATAATAATGATAAAGATTTTATACTAATTTCTAATTTCAATTGTAATTTTTCGAATATTATTTATTTTAATAAATTTAATTATCTGTGGTGTCGTATCCACTATGTACATATACGTATATTACATGTCGTATGCACCTAGTGGTGGTTTGGTTGCTTACACGTCATTATTTCACACCCGATTATATTTTGCATTGTCTAGTTGACGAGTTCTGATACCGGTTGTGAGATTCCAACGTGTGTAAGCACCACATGACGGACTACTTCTTGGTCTTTCTAATTCTGTGACAACAGCCAACTACTCCAAAGTACACCAAGTATTTTACAATATTACTTTAACTAATTTTAGATACTCGTAGGGATGTAACGAGTAAACTTGTTAGAGTATTTGATGTAGAGAATAGAATTGCATTATTACGATCAACGTAAAGAGAATGTCTTTATAAATAACTAGCTAATGAACGATTTGAATAGATTTAATGACATCAAGGCTACAACTCGTTACTCGTTACACCTCCACACAATAGGTACATGATTGCTGAACATTTAATATTCGATTAATAATCGCGTAACATATATTAATGTTTAAGTGACCGCTCTAAACAAAGTTAATATTAATCGCAAGCGACAATTTCCATGATATCTATATAACTCTCATACACGATTAAAAAATAAAGCACTTTGTTGTAATGAGAGCTATGTAGCAATCAAATATATTAATATAATTTGTACAGGCTAACAATAATCCTCTGACGTATCGGCCCGACGGCTACACTACGCGTAACTTTTTATAATTTATACTCTATGCACTTTCGACCGTCATCATAATACTTTTTTTTACATGGGACGCAAAGGAAACACTATAACGTTAGGCCTCGGCGTATAGAAAAATAACCCGCACTTTGAGTAGAAAACTTAGGCTAGTTCATAAGTCCTACGCGAAGCCGGCAGGGGGCGGTCGCGAGCGCATAGAGGACGCGGCGGCTTACGGCGAGATACTTTACTATACCGCACTAACATACGCCTGCACTCACGCGACACTGCGGCCGTCGCGACACCACTGGACAAATGGAGTGACTACATGGTTCATATCGTAAATACTGAGGCTGTAGGAGACATCGTTTGTCATTGGATAATATCAACATCGCGACAAACGATTTAGTTCCGAGTTACGACTGTTTAGTTTAAGTGTATGTAGACACTTCATTCATGTTGTTGATGCACTAGTGTCGCAGGTAGTCGCGCGGTCGCTCGGCGCCAGCTCAGTAGTGTGTGAGCCCCCAGCCGCGAGGGGCGCCGGCGCCCTACATGCCGTACCCGTGGTAGGGCGCCGGGGACGGAGCCTGCGCCGCGTACGCGTACGGAGAAGGTTGCGCTGCTACTCCCGCGTACGGCATCGATGGACCTGCGTAAAAAAGTATACATTACTAAACCTGTAATGATGGATGCAATATTTTCTTATGCCAAGTTACTTAGGGAGGGTTGATGAAATAAGTCTGTTTGCATTTTCTATGGGCCATCATCCTACCACAAACTCTGTTTCTTTTAATTCACTCCTCATTCCATGCTTAATTTATCCATCTTTTCTGTGGAATCCTCTTGATTGCCATGCATGGAAAATAACTTGGTCAATGAAATCGCAAAAACAATCAATGTAAAACCGAATTATATCCTACACAGCAACACAGCAACACATATGTATTACAACAAAGTAGAGGAATATAGTGTATGTAGGTAAGTGTAACATACCGGCAGTAAGCATAAGTTGTGGTTCCATGATCATGGCAGGTTTAGCTTCATGCTCGGCGCTCTCAGTGCTGCGCTTGGCGTCCGCCTCCTCCAGCTTCTCTACCTTCGTTGTTAGCTCGCGGACAGTCTGGAAAAAAGACAGTTTTCGATAACTCATATTAGCTATTAAACTTCTTTTACGAATAAAGTGGTAGTCTAGTCTCTTTTAAAATAGAATTCGTGACAATTCAAATCCAAATCTGGCGATCTATGCCAAATAAAACATAATAATAATAGTAGTATATTACCTGGATAAGGAATGGCATGGCGAAGTCCATGATGTTATGTCTCCACGCCAACTCGATGACCACGTCAGGTTTCAGCAGGTCGTAACACTAGAGAAAATAATCACATAATTAGAAAATAATTGTATTCAATTTGTAATGGGAGGTATTGTTTTGTGAACAAAAATCACAACTTTTTAGACAATAGTAAACAAACTTATTTAACTTATTGCATTTAGTTTTAAAAACTATTTCAATACTATTATAATTTACTTATAAATACATAACATAGTATTGTATGTATATTCCTATTGTATATGTAAAGAAATAATATAAATTTCTTTATTTGAATGTGATCTAACAGATGACGTTTATATGTCATCTGTCTATTTAAATAAAATATCCTAGAATTAGTATTTGTTGAGAAGAACAATAAATTGGTTATTAATTTCATTAATTAAGTATTATACCTCTAATTGTGATTAGGAACTGGCATTGTTAATAATAACATTAAATGTCGTTTCTTTTCTTACAGGTTTGTAATAGTTTGAAACTTAATAAGTTATCACACATATTTGTTAAATTTTCATATTTTATAAACAATAAATCTTTTCTTACAGGGAAACTCAATTGTGTTTAACTGACTGTGTCGTCCTAATCCAGAAATATCTTATAAAACGACATATTTTATTGTCACAAAATGGAGAAATTGAAATTTACGTTCGAAGTAAAATCAATAGACGGTAAGTCGAACTTTATCGCAATAACCGCAATTACCACAAAAGAGGACAAAGTTTTCCTTATACCTGAAGAATGTCAAGGGATGTCACTCCACAAACATATCCAATCTTCGAAAACTTTTTTAACTGTGAAAAACACATTAAAAAAAAGATACCAAACTAGAAGTGTTTGGATCAGGACAACACAAGATATATTACAAACATATGTTGATGAAGATGGAAACATGATCTTTCAAGACCAATTTTTAGAGGAAATTACCCAAGAACAAATGGCTACTGGTAACAAAAAGTGCTCTGAAGATCCTATAGTGAAAATTTTGGAAAAACTAGTTGAAAGTCAACAAAACAAAGAAAAGCAATGTATGAAAAAGTTGGCTGACAAGTTTGTAATTGAGAAATTTAATGGAAATTATATTCCTCTATATCATCATCACGCTTATAAGTTAGACCCTAATAATAAATTCGTTATAAGCACGTACCTGGTAGAGGCAAGCAGAGAAGCACTCATAGTTATCTCTCTCCAGGAACCAGTTGAGCAGTTCCTCCGCAACTTCAGCGGAGCGCGACTCTGACGCGTACTCCATGGCGTCCGCGTACAGAGCGTCCTTCTTGCACAGCTCCACGCTCTGCTTCCATCTATTGTTACCTGGAATATGAGAGTAAAAGTAAGTTCTATGTCTCTGAAATATATTAGACTTTAGTTTCGAAGTTAATATGTGCATAGGGACCTGAATCTAGTCACTAGATGCGCAAAAGCGTTTAAGTTAAGGATACACTAGGAGACTGATGCCCCAAGACATATATCGGGGATATGTCCAGCGAAGCCGGCCGATATCGCCTGACGTATAAGGTGACAACGGGCGACTTAGGGTCAATTTATACTAGGGCAGAGTCGAAACGCACCGAAGCGTCAAATTCTTCACAACTAAATAAAAGCCGCACGAATGCGCGCGTATTCGCGGGTATACGCGCGCGAGTAGTAGGAAATGGGCATTAACTGCATGGATTATATAGGCATTCATATTTTTACACCAGGTAAATTAATTTTTCGTCCGAATCCATCGTGTACAACACTGATGCAGGCCAAATGCTAACTGATGACGCGTCGTAGGTTCGCTAGTGGGCGCGTGGATACGCGAGAATGCGCGCGAATTCCGAAGAATGCGACCGTCTTTTTAAAATCTCAGAAGCATTGCGTGCGTTACGCTGTTGGGTTAAGGTTGAATTTGTTATGTTCAGTTTTGAATAGACGCTTCGATGCGCTTCGACTCTGCCCTAGTATAAATTGACCCTTACGTCGACAGTGACGTTAATGTTGCCAGACATGTCGACCAAACTCCGGCAATGTCATTTGTCCCCTAGATTATCCTTGGCTTTATACGCGAGTACAATCCAATCTATTGCATAGCATACAGTCAGCTAGACACAGTCTATCTTTGGTCACTACTTGTGTATGGATGTCGTACCTTTGTATAAGTAGGCGGCGATTCTTCTGAACTCAGTGAGTTCGTGTTTCTCGAGCTGCTGTGCTAGCGCGATCGTGTCGAAGTTGTCGAACGCGTCTATCGATGTTCGTAGACCCTGTAATATTAACGAATTGGAAATGGAATTATATGAAATTTAACATAACATCACGCCTATCTTCCCGAAGTACCATGTAACACCCACTTTTCACTATTTTGTGTTATTAGTCCCATGAAATAAGGGGTGAGCCTATTGCCATATACTGGGCACAATTCCAGACTCCGTGCTACCACTGATTTTTTTAAACCCAGTAATACTTTGCTCGACCCGGGAATCGAACCCGAAACCCCTTGCCCGGCAGTCGCACTAGCGACCATTCGGCCAACGAAGCAGTCATATCAAAATTAAATAATAGGATTAGGGTCCTGGCATCGAATTTAGAACGATATTTTGTATCATCAATACTAATAAATTATAACATTTGTTTGTTGTTTTAATTTGTAACTTATTTTTATCTAGTTATAAAACTTCTTTCGTATTAAATTGCCGTATCTCTGTTATGAAATGCGAACATACCTGGTAATCTTCCTCATCAATAAGCAAGGAGTTGAGTGCCTCATTGACAGCCTTGTTGTTCAAGCTCTGCACGGAGCGGAGGTATGCCTTCACGAGCTGGAGATGTCCAGCCTTGGTGAAGAATGTGACGGCTCTGGTATGGTCCATGCGAGGAGCCAGGACTAGAAGTAGATCATTCAGCAGGAGAGGCTTGTAGTCCAGGTAGAATTGGATAGCTTTGTAGTAGAGTTCCATGTTTGCAACCTGAGGAAAAGTTTCGGTATTATTATTTAACCATTTCACATCAACAGATCATGACAGTATACACTGGATAATCAACCAGATGGAGGTCCATCCTTGGACGAAGAAAGTCCTTTATATAAGAGGGTTTGCTATTACCACATGGGTGTGTTCGAGATTACCATTCAAAAGGATCAGGTTTATCAGAGAGAGCTGCTGCCCAGTCTCTGGTTAAATATGATCTCCCTTAGTCGGGTTTTACGAACGGAAGGACGTGAAGTGACTTTATCCTACTATACCGTCAAACAAATGGGACTTGTTATCTTCGTAGAATCTAAACTGCATCACGGCAAGGTTATGAAAACTGTGACGATGGGCGCAGATTACGTTAACAGTGTAGTGCCGGGTACTGTAGCCCAAATACACAGTATGTCGCTAGCCACTGCTTTGTATACACGTCGCAAAAACAGATGTGAGTATGTTGTTATGTTAATACCTTGGTGATGATATCCTTGAAGTGTCCCTCGCGCCACGCCTCGGTGGGATGCTGCATCATGGTGAGTGCCGCGTTGTCGTACTCCTCGTACTTGTCGTACAGGAACACTAGCTCAGACCACAGGTGGGCTTGTTCCGCTGCACGGAGAACCTGAGGGCGAAGCGAAGATTTAGTATTAAAATTTATGCCATGCTTTGCCAATGGGCAGACTCGATTAGAGCGACACCATGGCCTCATAGAAAAAAAACCGGTGAGAAATAACGTTGAATTTGCAGTACATTTCTTTAGAGTTTTAGACAGTGTTAAAATAAGATGGGTTACGAATGTATGCAGTTTCTGGCCTTAACTTTTATTATGCAAACAGATACCGGTGTATGGGTGTACTGTTACAACCGTTAATCTAGAATCACCTGATATTGACTCATTTGACTCAATCACTTAAAGTGGAGTCAGTCAGTCTTGAGAAGACATAATATTCTAATAACCAATTCTGTCTTCGTATTATAATCAGTATCACTACATTACATAATACACAAATGTTCCTCACCTTAGGAATATTAACTCGTGACCAGAAGAGTTCGAGATGTTCCCTCATCTTGGCAGGCTTGTATTTGGAGTATAGTATGGCGAGCTCTGTAAACATTCCCATGTGAGCGCGTTCTAATCCTAAAGCGGCTTCTAACAGACTGATCAGCTCGTCGAAGTGCCCGCGATCCTGGAGAAAAAGAAGGATTTTACTTCATATTGTAGATTATTTAGATTGGATGGTGAAACTGTCTTTGTGGTCAAATTACTTGTTCCAAGTGTCTGCAATTCATTCCAAAAACATAGAAAATACATTGCTGATGATTATATTTTGTTACCTAATATGATAAACATTTTGCAGTGTTCAAGTTCATAAAACAGCATTGACGAAAAGGTTGTATAAATAGTGACGGTACTTATTATGACAGATAGAAGTAAGAAGCCTTATTATACTGCCAATATTGCAAGTCTTCAGTATTTTACGGAATCAAGACTAAAAATGTCGTGGTAAGTTAATATTACAAACCTGGTAGTAATTGATGAGGTCCTCGAGTTCGTCAGCGTGTACAACAATGTGTAGTCCACACATCTGCGCCAGTCGGAACTCTCCCGCGTCGACGCAGGCGAAGCAAACCTCCTTCCACGTACGGGTCGAGTTCGCTTTGCGGGCACTGTCGACCGCACCTGAGGATAATATCAAATTATACTATGAATATTGCCCGGTATATGGCAATAGGCTCACCCCCTATTGCATGGGACACATAACATAAATAGTGAAAAGTGGGTGTTACATTATACAGTGGCATTAAGTGCCGTAATGTGCGCCTCTACCTACCCCTTCGGGGATAAAAGGCGTGATGTCGTGTTATGTTATACCATGAATATTATGTAAATGGAACCTTTGGATTTCTTAAAGTTCGTAATACTTTTTCGACTGTTTCCGCACATTGAAGAAAAATGAATACAAGAAGTCTTTGTTAGACTAATTTGAGTTGGAATCTAGACAGTCTTTTAAGTTAGATGATTGTTGTTGAGCTGGTTAAGTGACCACGTATCATTAGTTATAGACAGATACCTCACGTATTATTAGTTTTCTAGATTTTGTAATTATCAAGCGTGAAAACATTATTATCCTGTCTCACCAGTATCTTATAGTTTTTACTTATGACATGGGATCAGTATCATAACTGGCCGGGAGTGAAAGTTATGTATTTGTACTCCTGGTTAGCAGTGATAACCAATACTAATAATGATAATGTCCTATACCAATTTTCTATCTTACTATTACCTAATGTCATAAACCTTTAACTCACCCTGGAATTCCTTCAAATGTACAAGCGTGATGGCGAGACGTGCGAAGTTGCTGACATTATTGTAGAGGAGCTTGGCAGCATTGTACATCTTGTCGTCAAAGCATCGGTCTCCAATCTTCTGTATATCTGCATGGTTGGGGCCCGAGATGAATTCTTCCAAGTCCGCCAGACGGCCAGTGCGGGCGTATGCGTAGATCAATTCTGATTCGATGTAGGATTCGCGCGCCTTCTTGCGTGCCATCTGTGGGGGGAAGGAAAAGTGTTGTAATTTGTTTTTTTGTGTATTTTGGTTATAATTTTTGATAATCTGAAGGCAGATTTGGTGTAAAGATGTTGCACTAAATTAGTAAGAAGATTATCAACATCTTTGTTTACTGGCATTATGAGCAAATAAAATTATTTTTCTTATTCTATGACTATAGTCTTGTCTATTGTTCTGAAGAGCTTTAGGACGAGTTAGTTCTATGTTTAAAGTAATCGAAACGACACCGCGTTCAACGGTCTGGTTGGCCGGCTCCATTGAACCAAGCAATCAGAGCGCCGAACGCGGTCTCGTTCCGAGAATCATGAGAATAAATTCCGTTACATATATTTAACTCATTTCTATTGTAAAATAGTAACCAATGTCCTCTTAATGATGATTATAGTGTCTAGAGGTAACAAAAAGCCTTGCTATATCTTTATTATTAGTTGGGGTTCTAACCAGACAGATATCTAAAATTCCCATACTCTATTTCTTTTTTGATTATTTTATATCTACCCTCTTCTATTACTTTTTACTAAATATACAAATGCTACAAACCTGCAAATATCGCACGAGATCCTCCCAGGACTCCCTGTTAGTGGCAGTGGCGACTACATCCATGTAAGCTGAAGGGTCATCCGCCTTGATGTACGAGTCGATGGCTTCCTTCACGAGTCCCTGTTGTAGCTGTGCCTTGGCCAGTTGTGACCAGACGCCTGGCTCGTTGCAACGCTCGGCGAACTCGTACGCACGTTCCAGGTCTTTCACTTGTTCTATCAATACCTGGAAGGGTAGAAGGTTGTCTTAGAGCATGATGCAAAACAGTTTGATGATGCATTTTTAGATTCATATTCGAAAATCGCGACGTGTCATACTACACAAGAACAGGTCAAGAAGGTAATAGAGGGACACGTATTGAGGCAACATCTTCGGCAGTTCTAAGCTAGGTACCATAAAGGTTTATTGCCATTGCCACCAGTGACAATCAAGACTAAAGAATACATTAAACCGCCAACACAAAATGATTTACAGAACATTCAAAAATAATAGTTTTGCAACTGACAATTTCTCGCAATTTTTTTTGTACTTTTATAATGTAGTAAGTAATCCATAGCTCTACAAAAACTCCATTCAAGTAATGTCAATAATCGGTCGTTATCCACAGATTTTGAATTGAAATAGGTTATGAAATTGGCAACAAGTCTCCTACACTTTAATTTCAAACGGTCCTGTATAAAATCTGTCCTTACTTGAATAGCAGAAGTATTGACATCAAACTTCTTGAAGATAGCGAAGGCTTCCTCATAGAGTTCGTTATTAATGGCGATGTTAGCGATGTCGGGCGCGTCGTAGTTATCGAGACGATTGATGTACTCCATTACACGGCTGCGGTCCGCCTTTATTGCTGGGGGATAAAGTTGATAGTTGAATGGCAAGTTTGGGAGTTTAAACTATGGATATGTTAATGAGATTGAGTAGGTTTTCTGTTTAATATTATCAGTATAACTTAATGGCGTGAGCAATGTAATGTTGTAAAATAAAAAGAAGTTCAAATTTGATATTGCGTAAAGTAACATAAATCAGTGCAAACTGCGTTGACTCCCGCGTTAGATACTTATACAACACTATTTCAAAAACAGTTCAAATGTGTGAATATCAACCCCTAAGTAAGAGGTGGAAACTAGTCAAATAGTAAAATATCTGAGTAAGTCCTAAAACATAACTAATTCAGTTAAAGTGTGTAGAAAATCAATCACATCACCACAAATCATTTACGAAAGATCTTCTGATCAATCCCCAAGCGGTGACCATTGACACCACTATAGTTCTTTTTTCCGATGTTTAGATACAACTTTTGTATGAAAAAATTTTGAGAATTTTCGATACAATATATCAAATCACTAATCATAATCACCAGTTAATAAATTCTCAGTAACTTACCAGTAAGAATAAGCAAGTTCTGCAGGTTCCTGTGGTCGGAGAACACAGAGTTGTCGAGCACAATCTTCTCCAACAACTCAATCAACTCATTGGGCAGGTCCGCAGTCATGAATGCTTTTACAGTCACCGAGATATCTTCTGGGTCTTGCGTTTCAGAGAGAGCTGTTTGGACCACCTGGAAAAGATATTGTGAGATGTTAATATCATATTATAAAACAATTCCCTGAAAATGCTGACAATATCAAACCACTACCGTCAGTTGAGTATTTGCTTTTAAGTTTTTGTAATTGCATATAAGTATGCATCCTTTTAAATACCGACCGTCAGTCGAAAACAATTCAGTTTGTATCAAAATGTTGCTATAATTCACTTACTTCAAATCTCATTTGCGACCCCAGAAACGTTTTTTATCTTTACAATGTTGTTTTTTGTCTCTTATAAAAGCTATTTTTTATCAAATTACCTGGTCAATAAGCTGCCTCTTGAAGGGGTTAGACTCAGCCAATACTTCGAGCCACAGGTCAGGGTCCCGACGCCGGACAAGGTACCGCGCCTGAGTCTTGAACAGAGAGTTGTCGTTGCAGACGGCGATGAGTTCCCGGTCGCATTGTCCGCGCTCGTACGCGACGCAGGCGAGGTGCGGGTCGCGCTTCTCGCAGTAACGACCTACTACGCGGGAGTCGTACCTGGGAGGATCAATGTCATGGAAGTGTTATCATTATACTTTGTTACCTTCTTTTTACATAACATAACATCACGGCTATTATTCCCGAAGGGGTAGGCAGAGGCATTACGGCACTTAATGCCACTTTACAATGTAACACCCATTTTTCACAATTTTTATGTTATAAATCCCAAGTAATAGGGCGTGAGCGTATTGCCATATACCAAGTCTACCTTCTTTCTATATAATATAATTTACTATAGGTAATGTCTACGCTTAGCAAGAGAGTGGAGATATCCGTTTTAAAAGTTTTGATTTATCAGAGTGCTAAAACTGTTCTTGTGGTCGGTTCTTACGAACTCTTAGGTAGAGTAGGAAAGGTGACTCAAGTACACTGTCGTCATTATGGCTTTATTGTTGTGGGGTCACATTTGGAACGTGTTTACTGAAGGCATAGTATTTTAAACTTTTCCTTTGAGCAGAAAAACAGCCAAGATAATAATTATATATGTTATGAATTTTTTTCATTTACAAAACAATAAATAAACATGACTTACCATTGGTTCTCCTTAAGGAATCTCTCAGGGTTGTTGTTGGAGTCGATGTAGATCTTAGCCAGGGCATTGTGTGTGGCGGGCTCGTTGCTGCCCTCGTGGACGCGGGTCTCCAACCAGGGGAGGAGCAGCTTCAACCTGGTATAATACGCAATTTAAACAAAAAAATATTCAGCTACGTGGGAATTGGAATAATCAACAAATACCATAAAAAACTCTTTACATCTTACTTTTCATCTAAACTCCTTAGAATGACTAGGTATTAAAATTAAACTGGTGATACATTGTCTATCGTCCAGTCTCAATACACAGATACTACTAATTCTAGATTAGTTTACTGCAAATGTACAGATGAAAATCTACAGAAATTGGCGATACCATTGGTTAGTATTACTATGTTCATACATATACATACTAAGTGTAAGTGTGGAAGAGCCATGCTTCGGCACGAATGGGCCGCTCGACCGGATTGATACCACGGCCTCACAGAAAACCGACGTGAAGCAACGCTTGCCTCCTCCTCTAGTCTCCCGAATCCCCGAATCCTCAAATTCCCAGTTCCCAAAAGGCCGGTAACGCACTTGTAACGTCTTAGTGTTTCGGGTGTCCATGGGCGACACGGATTGCTTACCATCAGGTGATCCGTTTGCTCGTTTACCGGCTTATACAATAAAAAAATACTCTCGCGCCAGTATTTTTGGCGGTCCATAGTGTAGGCAGACTATGGACCGCCAATGCTACGATTCTTACATACCTCTTTCACTACATTAACAGTCATCAGTCAATATGTTCATAATACATCATAATTTCTTTTAAACCAAATAAACAACAATAGTATCTCTTTACCTGTTCCTTTTCTCGACTTCAGCGACCAGCTCATCAGTGGAGAACTGTCCTCGTACGACTAGGATCAGGTTCTTGATGATATCCTCAGCACAGTCTACGTCCAGCAGACCACCTACTACCACCGGGAGACGGGATGGGTTCACCTGGTTGAAAAATAATAAAATAGTAAGTATGTAGTTTTCTTTAAGAGAAAATGTGTTGATAAAACCTTCCGTAATGAAATAAAGAAGAAACAGAAAATGTGATATTAATTTCGAATATTATTCTAGTTTTTTTTTTAAAGTGGGGAATATCATCAAATGACTGCTCCCGCCTGAGTGGGGCGGAAGGGAGTGTCAGACTCTTACTGACTAAAAACCACCCCGTTCCTTCTCCTGCACGTCGAGCCGGAGCCCCAGTAACCCGTTAGGTTCTCCGCGACTCCGAATATCATTCTAGTTGCGTTTGCATTTTAGTAGTAAATAAAAACAATGTATGCTAGGCGCTTATTGAAATTACGAAATAATTCGTCATTAGCAAACTTACATTCACATACAAACTATTCCTCTGTGATTACGATGGTTGAGACAGAGCTTGAAAACTCGAAATATACATGGCAAATATCTAATTTCGTTTTTTAAACATAATATCCTACATTATCCAGATATACTCAAAGGAACTCAAGCAAGTACTGTAATTTAACCCCTAAACACAGACACATTAAGGTACTAAATTCAACTAACCTTCTGCACATAGATCTCAATGTACTTCTGCAGGCTGTTTCTGTACAGATACAGTACGAGGTCGTGGACGAAGTCGAACCGGTCGCACACTATGATGAGAGGGAGCTGGTCGGGCAGCTTGGCTTCCTTCAGGAAGTTCTTCACACGTTCAGCGTTATAGCAGTTTGATTCGCGGCAGATGCGCTCTACTTCCTTGATCTGACCAGTCTTGCAGGCGGCCTGGAGAGGGAATAAAATTTTAGTCTTTCTAGAGCTCTATTAGAGTGTATAGAGTAAATGCTTTTGCAATGTGTATGAATGTAGAATAGGTAATATATCATTGCGTCGTTTATAGATAAAAGGGTAGCCGGGTAGAGAGTTATACACATTAAATGTCGCATCTGCATTTTTTCAGTTATGCCATCACTCCCATGTAATACCGTATGACTTTATTATTATACAATAGCCACATTTCAATCTCATTACTATTACTGAATTCTCTAAAATTAAAAAACAGTATGAATACTTTAACCTATCCAAGAATCGAATCTGTAATTAATAAAACTCAGCCGCATTTGCTATATCACTTGCTCAAAAACAAAATTGGTCTATCTGCTCGAGAGCAACGATCTGACAAATCGATGTTTGTAGTCAAATTTCGAATACAAAAGTGAAAATGTCAAAATGAATAACAAAAACTAACCTGAATATACTTGAAGTGGACTTCAGGATCCTGGCTGAAGTTGACAATGGACCCCAGGAAGTAGAATAGACCTTCATACGTCTTGAAGCTCTCGAACAGCTCAATCAGGGCTTTAGTAGTCAGCTGTTCATGGTACTTTGTGGCGATTTGCACGCAGATTTGCAGGTTTTGGCGAATGTTCGCTTGAAGCATCGCTTTGAGGCATTCTAGGGAATCTTCTACGGAGAGGCTTCCAAAGTAAGTCACCAGCCAGTCAGCGGGGAGGAGGTGTGTGTGGACCTGTTGAAAAATATTTTTGTTAGATGAGACATTTATGATCTGTTGATTTTAAATTAAAGTTTAATTTTTATTACTATCAACATATCAATACCAGTACGAAATTATGAAAATCAGAATAAATAATGCCAGAACTTAAATTCAAAACACAAAAATTTCTTTTTTGACAGTACACTATTTCACTATTTCTTCCGAAGGGCAGAGGTGCACACTATACTTTTCACTATTTATGTTATGAGTCCCATGTAATAGAGAGTGAGCCTATTGCCATATACCGGGCACAATTTCAGATTCCGTGCTATTACTGGGATTTTTTTAAAAACCCAATAATACTTTGCCCGACCCGTTAATCGAACCCGAGACCACTTGCCCGGCAGTCACCTTTGCGACCACTCGGCTAACGAGGCAGTCACACTATTTAAATGTCAACAAAACATCTTTTCGTTAGTGTATAATTGAACACTATTTTTATAGATATATCTAACAATTACTTAAGTATACAGGTCTAAAATGTATTACATGTTATTTTTATGCGGCCCATAGAACAGCAACACCAACACCAACACCAGCACTTATAGTGCATCGCCAGCCCCTCATTGAATAATAGATCTTAAAGTAGAGTTTAAAATATGAATGTATCCTTACCACAGCCCTCTTGATGTCGTAGAGGTCGGTGTAGTGCTCGAGCGCGCGCTGCAGCAGGCCGGCCTTCTCACAGAGCTGCGCCACGTGCGCGCGGTCGTAGTGGGTGAACATCGCGTTGCCCAGGATCGCGTCCGCTACTTGCGGCGCCGACATTAGGTTCATTTCCAACAGCCTGACAAAAATTACGGATATAATTAGGTACAAATTAACTTTTAACAGATCTGTGTGACAAGAGCCAATAAAAGTTAAGTCAGTTAAGAGTTAACAAAAAAATAATAGTACTTATTATTTCATTTTATATGTATGTAACAATAAAACCATTTAAAACATCAAGATGTGACTATATTTAGTTTGCGCAACCTGAAAATACTTTTGCGCAAACAAGTTTGAGCTTACTGTATTTTGCGCAAGTCATTTTTAGTGAGTACTTTATAACCACAACATATCCAAAAACACTATACAGACGTGTAGGTCTACTAAAAATAATGACATCTTATTCAAGAACCCACCAATTCGATACATTTATTCAATACACTATTTCTTAAGATGTCAAAAAAATCTATCTATCGCCCGAATACTGAAAGGCTACTCAATTTTAATTTGTACTTAAATATCGTGCCATCTCTTTCATTTTACAAAGAATTTGTAGCGACAGAATTATACATAAGCGTGACTTAAATTTTGAGTATTCCGGCATCAGTTTAACCTGAGAATAACATAATTAGCATCAAAACTCACCTAGTCTGCAGCGGTCCTTCCTCTGGCCGGTTGTTCTTGAGAGCATCCAACAAGAAGGCAGTACATTGCTGCACCATGTTCTGTTCCATGAACACGTCCACTATCTGGTTGATGTCTGCGAGGGGAGGTTCCTCGGCTACTAACATACCGGCGAAACCTGCGCCTTGCTCGGGGTTTGTTCGCATTACGGAACGAAGGAGGTAGATGTAGTCTGGGGTGTAGCCCACCTGGAAACAATAATTGTTAGCAAATTAGAGGTTGAATAGAGTACAAGGGATAATAAGTCTTAAGTACTATTAAATTAAGGTACAAAATTGGAAGCAGGTTTTCATGTTGAAACTACTAATCAATTATTACTAAGCATTGAAAAGGAATAATTTATTTTGTTTTATTAATAAGTACTTTACTACTAAGATAAGGCATTCTCTTGTAGATGTGATGATGCTAATCAAGTATGATGTCCAGTTTCCTAGTTTAGAAATTATTGAATAACAATTTTAGACTTTACCTTCTTAGCATAAAGCACAATCTTCTGGAACTGTCCAGTCTCAGCGAAGCACTGGATGACCTTGCTGGCGACGTTAGCGCGGAGGTAGACGGACAGGGCGAGGGTGGGGTCCACCTGCTTTACCAAATCTCCGAGCTCCTCAGAGCATTCCAGTTTCTCTTCTTTCAACCATTTTTCTAGGAGCTGCTTGCGACCTTGCAGCAACACAGGACGGCAGAGCTCAAGTGACTCGAACTTGTTTAGCTGTGCTTGATCCAGCAGGATACCGAAGTACTGCAGCAGTGGAGATGTCTGTCCGGGCTGAGTGGGGACCTGCTGGAAGCGCTGGATGGTTTGCGGGGTGCGGAGGATGCCACGGGGAGCCATCGCTGCTACCTGAATGTGATGTTTAGTATTGATAAAAATGTCATTCAAATCTTCAAAGATCAGGGATGTGGATTCTTCTAGGTAAATGCTTTAGTCATATAAAGTACTTAAACTGTCAAACATCGCGGGCACACCGGTGATTGCAACCTATTGTTCTTTAATTGTGTCTATAATGACGGTACTCAAAGGGTTAATGTTAATAGTAGGTATTATATTGCGTAAAAATGCAATCGTGCATAATGTAGCGTCTTTTAAACCATAAAAACTGGTTAGGGCTTAGGGCATTCCTATAATCAATAACAGAGGGAGAAGCGAGAAACAGTTAGAGTATCATTCTTGACTCATACCCGTAACTCACGTGAGCCGTGGAACTGAGTGAATGTGTAGTCGACATCCTTATTCTTGCAATTAATTATTCATTAAAACATGTAAGTGTAGTCACGCGTCGACAACCCTACAGGTCAGGATACGTACTGAGTGATAGCGGATCGCGTATGAATAAGATACTCGACGGATACCTCTAGTTGATCCTTCTTTTATTAATCCTTACTAATATTATAAATCATAAAGTGAGTTTGTTTGTTTGTTTGTTCAACTTTCACGCCGTAACTACTAAACCGATTGCTTTGAAATTTTGCAGACGTAAAGTTAGAAGTGCGGATTAAATAATAGGGTACTTTTTATCTCTGAAAAATTTGATATTCCCGAGGAAAAACAAAAGTATTGGTATAGATGGCGCTGTGTGTATTGGTATATGTCACATTGGCTTTTTATCCTTTTGTGACGCGAGCGAAGCCGCGGGTAAAAGCTAGTATTATTATAAAGTCTTGGCTGTAAGGTCACTAACACTTGCTACGTGAAGAGTTTTTCAGTCTAGACATACAATCCTATTCCTCTTTTACCTACAGATCTAAACGAACTCACAAGTCATACTAAATTAATATGTATTGCAATTGTTACAAACATTCAATTCATCGCACAAACAGCAAGGGGGAAGTAAGAAGAAACGCAATAATTATACAATCCGCTATCCGCTATCACTAAGGACTCATGCGTATAGTAGTATGGGGTGTTATGCGATGCGTGAACCGAGCCGGTGTCACAATAGACAGGTGGCGATGACGTCACGTTATTGATTGTAAACCAAGGCTCGAGTTTGTTATGGTGTATGTAATCGTTTAATTGTTATAGCTAATTCCCTGTTACATATTAGATGGGATTTGTATGAAAACTGGTGAAAAGAGGTTGTTTAAAAAGGGGCGTATGTACTATGTATGTACATTCTATGTAATTTTACGAGATATACATTATACAGACATAATGTTCATTTAAATGTTCTATTACTGACTTTTATACTGTCCCATTGTCATTTTACTAATATTTTTTTTACTAAGAATCACCCATTCTTCAAAAAATTTTTAAGAAATACTAACGACATCATTAATCCCAACTCCAAATTAAAAATTCTGCTGATTGAAATTCTAAAAATGATTTTGTGTTTTCCCCTTAAGCAAGTTAATAAAATATTAATGATAATAAGTTATTAAGTTACTTAACAACACGTGACATTAATGATATATGTTAATTAAATGTTTTATTTATTTATAAACTATATACATAACTATCATAACAGGAACTAATACCTAATGCAATAGTGTATGCCAATATTAATAAAATTGAATTACAAAGTCTAATTTTACAATTTGGTACTACAACATTTATAACTATGGTAACAAACATATTCCTTAGGCTATGTTAAGGGTTTTTGGAAAATTATTCGTTAACAAACTGATGACTCAAACAATTATCGTGTAGGTATAATTATCTCACTGACACTAGTAATTCTCAAAAAAAAAATCTACTGACATAAACATTTTTATGTGAAAACATATTCCAAGACCTATAATTTTCAAAAATAGACCTTCTATTTATTATATACTCCCTACGCGAACAATACGTGACGTGTATGAAAATGCCACGTCACCGCATCGACCGCTTACTGTAGCGCAATTACTGGTGTGGTACGGATCGTTATATTACTCATCGCATATTAAAGTAAAATAGATAGTTACTATGAATGAATGTAGAGTTTATACCTTATTTTAACGACGTTTAACTAAGACAGATATTGTTGCAAGACATTTTAAAATTGTATGTGCAGTTCAGAATATCTAAATAAATTATTATTAAAATCTAAATAATTCCTAAATTAAAATAAAAACTACGTTTTTATAGAATCTGCAGATTTTTTGTTTCATCAACAGCCTATTAATGCCCACTGCTGAGCAAAGCCTCTTTTGACATGGAGAAGGTTTGAGCATCAATCACCACGCTTGATCAATGCGGGTTAGTGATTACAAACTTATAATTAGAAATTATAAGCCCAGGTTTCCTCACAATGTTACCCTTCACCGTTTGTCAGTGGTGTCTAGATAATCTTAGAAAGTACATATAACTCGGAAAAAGTCATATTGGTACTTGCAGTTGGTAGGTTTCGAACCCGAATCCTCATGCATGAGAAGAGAGCGTCTTAAACCTCTGGGTCACCACGACCTTTTGTTTATGTTCTGATAATTAATTTTTTCTATGGTGTAAAGAACATACCGTTATTTTATGCACAAACGGAGGCAAAATTTAAAAGATTTACGCCCGAATACTGAAATGCTACTTAATATATAGTCGCGCTTTAAGTATAGTTCTGTCACTATAAATTCTTTGTAAAATGAAAGAGATGGCACGATATATGGCAGTAGTATTGGGACATAAACATGTATCCATCAGTATCTACTGATAGCATAACATGTCACTTGTTTTTAACTACTTGAGTACCGTCATTATAGACACAATTAAAGAACAATAGGTTGCGGTCACCGGTGTCCTCGCGGTGTTTGACAGTTTAATCTAGAAATAAAGTGTTTTACTTCGTTTCTTTCTTTCTATTATGGCGTAATTGCTTAACAGAGATCTTATCAGACGTATTGTATTAGTTTTCACGCTAAAACATTACAGTTACAAAGAATCAATAACACGCCCTGAACTTGAATTCCTTTCCTCGACCTTTTACAACCAATTTTATATAGTACAATACGGTAGTTGACAGGTATTCAAATTCAATACTTTGTTTTAAATGTCAAAAACGATACTTTTCTATGAATTTTGTATTGGATCACAACTTATGACGTCATCATATTTCTGCGTCACACAGCATACTTATTTCCTTAAAATTAGCGAGAAAAAATACAAAAATAGGTAAATTGTCAAATCAATGGATGAGAGTATGATTATTTTTAAATTATTTATTGCATTGAATAGTTGAAACAATTTATTTTAACTCGTTGAGTACCGTCATTATAGAAACAATTAAAGAACAATAGGTTGCGGTCACCGGTGTCCTCGCGGTGTTTGACAGTTTAAACCTAGGAAACTAGGCAATTCTAGAACATTCCACATACCTTAGCAGCCTCTCCGTACTGTCCGTTGGTGAAGAGCATGTTGAACTTCCTAACGAACAGTTCCTCAGCCCCCGCGAGGTTGTTGCGCACAGCTAAACGTAGTGCGAGTTCAGGGTTCTGGAGCACCGTGTTAATGTAGGGCACAATGGAGTCTTCTTCTACAGTCACTGATAGTACTTGGCCTTTGCGGTTGACGCCTGAAAGAAGGAGATTTTATTGTAGTTAAGGATCTGGGTTCTTACTCTTGAAACCAACCTCAATGTCAATACAATTTGAATCCAATAAAATCTCAATAATTATTCAATGTCAAAACTATACAACCCCTATCGTAGCTGTTAAGATAGCATTCAGAGTACGGAATATAAAGCCAAACTCAGTACCATTTAGTTCATTCAATATCTACGCAATACGGATGCAATGGATATTAGTGTTACAACTCAAGAGTACGAAATTCACAATACCAATGTCGATCTATCGGAATTGGATTAAAGAGTAAGCCCCCTGATAAGGAGTGTAGAACTGCGTTGCCGGTCTTTTGAGGAGGGAGGATGGGCTCCGGTAACTTTAAATACAATGAAATAAAACGGTAACCTTGTTTCAAGCCAGTTTTGTATGAGGCTGTAAAACACTCCGGTTGAGCTATTCGCGCGAAAAGCATAAACTCCCGATTTTTAAACTCATTTATTCTTATTACATGTCATCTACTAGTTTTAGCGGCTTATAACTATTGAGTATGCGGCGAATTTACAGTCTCTTTCCAAAGATCGATATGCAAAATTTTTCGCTGTACCATGTAACCGTAATATTAAAAAGTTAAAAACATTAATCGAATAATCATATTTAATTATCTGATACGACAAACTGATACACAAAGTACAAAACAAATCATTAAACACTTCCCATAGACACATGACTCATACATGATGATCATGAATCAGTGATCGCATATAAACATAACATAATATATTGTAAATAAACATAGTTATTGTATTAACATTACCATGTTATTTCCAGTTATGTTATGATACTGACCACGATGCCAGACTGTGAAACCTGCGATAACCTCATGGCATGCGACCTTATTAAATATTAAATGTTTCCTTTTGTGTCTAAGTGGTAACGGTTATTATTATAATCTTAGAATAATTTAGATTGGTGTCAGTCATTAGCGACATTGTTGTGATAATATTTTGACAAATTTAAGCAAAGGGATTCTGCCCAAAAGACTTCATAAGTAAAATTAAAAGCAGTATGAGTTCGGCGCTCTGATTGGCCGACTTCACTAAACCAACCAATCAAAGCGCCGTAAAAGAAACTCGTACTAAGGGTTCTGAATGAGGGTTGACGATCCATTTCTTACGTGACAGTAATGATTGCAATTGTTAAAAGTAGGGTTCGGCTGCCATAATAACTTTCGTAATCTTTATGTATATAATTCTTCTGTGAGTGTGTATGTCACTGAACTTCTCTCAAACGACTGGACCGATTTTGATGAAATTTTTTGTGTGTGTTCAAGGGGATCTGGGAATGGTTTAGATTCACAAATCAGCCCGGCAGATGGCGCTGCAGTCGATGTTTAGGTTATTTATCCTAAACAGCTGAACTAATTTGAATGAATTTTTGTTTATACATTCAAGTGGATATGCAGGACAACGTCTGTTGGGTCCGCTAGTATTGATATAAAGTATCAAGGAACGGTAACAATATATCCGATAGACAAATTAATTCGTCGAGTACCGTATTTATAGACACAATTAAAGAACATAATAGGTTGTGGTCACCCGTGACCGCTTGGTGTTTGACAGTTTAAACGATAAATTCTCAACACTACAAAACTTTATCCCCACTTATGAACCTAACCACTTAGACAATAAACCACAAATCATAAAAGGCAAAACTCACCAATAATTCCACCAGTGGCTTCATGGGGAGCGGTCACAAAGATGGTATCAGAAGAGATCCTGTTCATGTAGATACAGGTACCAGTTTCAATGTCGTACATGTGAATGTAGCCGTATTTCGTGATGAGGTAAATGACGTCATATTTCGGGGACACCTGCATGGCGACGGGGAAGTCGTTCTGGGCCTCGGCTGGGAAGAACACGTCCACTGCTTTCTTGAGGAATGGCTGGTTCCCTGCTGGTGTTTGGCCCACCTCTGTTCAAAGAATAAACATTGTTAGTTTGTTGTTGTGTTGAGATTCGTATGTAGAGGATAGCACATAATTTACAAGTAAACTGCCATTAGTTGGCAGGTTGCTAAGGATATAGTACTTTGGTATTCAAAAAGTTATTATATTAAAAATTAAACCCCCATTTTTATGTTGCTCCATAATGTCTGAAGTTTGCGCTAAAACTTCAATATGGATTGTAATTTTATTGATTTTTATACATAAGTGTCAGCAATAGTGCTGAGTAAGTTTGTGTGCATATGTCTATAAATATGCACACAAATCTATACATACATTATGTTATGAATTACTGCAACAATTTAAAACAAATATAGAAGATCCAACAGTCAAACTATGTATGATCCAACAGTAAACTTTGGTATTCAAAAAGTTATTATATTAAAAATTAAACCCCCATTTTTATGTTGCTCCATAATGTCTGAAGTTTGCGCTAAAACTTCAATATGGATTGTAATTTTATTGATTTTTATACATAAGTGTCAGCAATAGTGCTGAGTAAGTTTGTGTGCATATGTCTATAAATATGCACACAAATCTATACATACATTATGTTATGAATTACTGCAACAATTTAAAACAAATATAGAAGATCCAACACTCAAACTATTTATATATAGTTTTGTTGGACATGGCGTTAGATTGTAGGGCATATCATGCACCTTTATTATTAAATAAATAAAAAAATATAAAATAATAATAGTAAAGCTAGGATGTGGCTCTTCGCTAGAGAATTTTTTGAATTTCAAAATCTTAGTATCCGTACACACATTCTAGATTAAACATAATCGCGATCAGAACGATGAACAAAAATAGTCACGGGATACAAATCAAATCCTTACTAATATTATAACTCGGAAAGTGAGTTTGTTTGTTTGTTCCGCTTTCACGCCAACTACTAAACCGATTGCTTTGAATTTTTGCAAACGTAAAGTTAGAAGTCCGAATTAAATAATAGAGTACTTTTTATCGGAAAAAATTGATATTCCCGAGGGAAAACAAAAGTATTGGTATAGATGGCGCTGTGTGTATTGGTATATGTCACATAGGCTACTTTTTATCCTTTTGTGACGCAAACGAAGCCGCGGGTAAAAGCTAGTTAAACATACATAATACGTATTACGTACATAAATACATAATGTTAGTTTGTAGGTCAAGAACGTTCACTCTAGAGTACAACTGTTTACTTATTTATTCACCAAGTCATCAATACAATACTACTGTAAGATCCTATACCTGTGTCGATGACGTCATCGTTATATTTCGATGTTTACTTAGATATAAGATAGAACAAGAACTATAAAACTTTGTTTTAAGGAGTTGTTGACTTGAATATAATGACGTAACTGAAAAGACGAAATTACACGAACGCCATAAAAATACGATTTATGATTTTCTACCAATCATATTTTTTGTTTACACTCTTCAAGTATTGTGTCCTTCTTTATTTTATCTTTAAAAGTAAAGCATGATTAATCGTATTACCACTTCATGACTGATAATCAGATGACAAACAATTCTGTAATTTTTTACTTTATCTACGCCCAGTTTATGAGTCCGTAAAGTCAAAAATACAAAAAGGAATTCAAAATTACTGAGCCTCAGTTACCAAATCAATCAATTTGTTTCTAAAATCTCTACGAGTACCATTCTGATCAACTCAATAATAATAATGATAGTTGTTATCCCGTAACCGATGAGCATGTATGAAAAGACTGATGACTATTGATGAAGCTAAAGAGGTTTGCAAGAATCGTAGAAATTGGCGTTCCATAGTTTCTGCCTACCCCATGGGAGACAGGAGTGACGTTATGTGTATTTTCTTTAGTAACAAAGTAGTACTCGCCAATAATATGCAGTTTGCCTCCCTGGGCGGTTCTGACGGCGAAACAGAAGAGGGTTGAGGGTTCCGCGTTGCCCTCAGCTTTGAAGGTCGCGAAGGAGGCGGCGTGGCCTTCGATCGGCTGTGAGCACTTGCGCTCTACTGAATAGAGCTGCATCGCGCCAACCACACGGTTCTGCTGGGCTGAGATACCTGGAAACAAATATTATGAACATTAAACATTTTATAACTAAAATAAAACTACCTTAAAAAATAACTAGCTTAAGACATCCAAATAATTATCCTCATCGTTGTCGTAAAATAAAAAAATAAAATTATTAAATACATGTACTACCCGAGGTGGTCGGTACCTTAACCTTACCATGTGCACTTCCATCTAACACCACTAACTACAGGTCACTTTAGAAATATTTAATCTTTAAAGAAATAACATACAATTACAAAAAACTACTCACCAACTAGCAGCAGCCACTGTTGTTTCGGATCGGTCCTGTAGTTGATGATCTGGCAGTCAGCAAGGGACGCATGCCTGTCAAACATCTTCACGGGAGTGGAATCTCCCTCCATGGACCAGTGGTACACCGACATCTTGGTGACCAGAGCGAGGGTGTTCAGGGAGATCCACTTCCAGAAGACGATGTCTTCGGTCATCGTGTGGGCCTTCATCTTCGATTTCATCTCGATGTTGAATATTTGCAGGGTCTTTTGAGCTGCTGGCAAAGTTAAAACGGATAATTAGTTTTGTTGCCTTATGGTAAGGCGAATGATGTAGGTAATGCTAGGATGAAATGAGTTGGATGAATCTTATTATAAGATTATCTTTAAGTATCGAAATTCAGTTCAATAACACTGAAATGTAAACTATAACCAGAAAAAGAAAGAAAAACCATTTATTACGCCACGACACACAACAAGAATTCAGGTACACACAAAAAGCCCATGGTGCGTCACAGTGCAAAAGGCTGGAGCTGAGCTTAATACTATGGCCCGGGCTTTAAATAAAATCTTTCTGATACTTTTTTTCAGTAAATTTTCTTTAGTAAAGAGAGGTTACATTCCAGAACGTAGTCCCCAACTCCAGATTGAAAAAGCAAAGGATTAACGTCAGATTATTTTTACTTAAAATTACTTAACACCACACGTACTTCATCCGATTATGACGAAGCCAAAAATATGTTTTGAGTATAGAAAGAAGTATTTCGTAATTTTACCCTAAAGTTCATAAATCAGGGGTCCAGTTTCAATTTGAACCATTGCAAACACCGTTAAAAGAATGGATTACAGATGATTAAATCATAAGAGACGTATTGCACGCATACTTATACGGTAAACTGAAACGTTATATCAAGTAAAACCTATTTAGATAACTCTTAAAAAGGGTCAAGTTACCGAATCGTAGAAGTTACTCATTTCCGAACTCCGAGATGCGACGAAGATTAGCATTAGTGGCCAAGTATCGATTCTAGGGCCATTAGCTGAAGTACTGACCTACATTAATTAGTGCTCATTAGGTGCTTAGGCTACTAACCCGTAGGTAGAGCATCTAGATATGCCTGCGTTGTAATAGTGTCATGCAGGTTATATTAAATAAGTAGCCACATATTTCCAGATGCTTTTACCATGAATGTAGCCAGTTCATAAGAAACGACTGATTTATTATACTGATAAAGAAGATTAGGTAAATAGATATAGGCCTTATTTAAGCAATGTTTACTAATCAATACCATAAGTATATGCGCGATGGCTTCACGACATACCCACACTAATTTTATTGTCGTGATACAGTTTATAAAGGAGATTGACCAAAAGCAGTCTAGCAAAGTTTCAAGTTGAAAAATCAAAATAATATAGAAATAATTTTCTTATTTTTTACAACCTTTTCACTTCAGGAATTGTATATTCGTATCCGGAATTATGATGATAAGATTAATAGTAACATAAAAATTGCTATGGAATTTCCGTTTCAAGGACATTGACGTTCCGTGCTAACTTACGAATAAAACTTCTTGTTTACGAATCACGTAAGTAGAACCTTTCGGCAAAATCATCACAAAAATTATATCAACTTCAATAAATAGCTAAATAATTTGTAAAATCAATACATTTTACAATGTATTTATTTAGTATTTTGTAGTATTGTTACAATTATAATTATTTTTGTGTTCCGTCTCACGCAGAAGCAACTGTCATAACATGTGACAGACAGAGTGGCGGCATTTGGATTGGAAGGAAAACTGTTTCTGTTTCACTGTTTGAGTGTTTGTTTTGAACTTTTGAATAAATAAGCGTGAGTTCCATGTAGCATACGACAAGACGTTTTTGTGTTTAGTTAAGTTTTATATACGCCAAAACGTTTTATGCGTATACTACATTACAACTAATGTAGTATACGACAAGACGTTTTTATATTTAGTTATTGTTTTATTACGCCAGGACGTTTGAAGTGCTGTGTGAATGAACTCTTGAGTGTACCTACTTTAAGTAATCATGTCGATGCTTGACCCTGATCAAACGATACCGATGGTAAGGAGGAGAAGCCGATGTGTCAATTGTTCGCTTTTGATACCCAGAAATCACCAGGAGCATTCCTTGCAACAAGCGTCTGCTACGATGATTACCATTTTACAATCTTGGATAACTCCCACTGAGGTAAGCTTCATTTTATTAAGTACTTCTTGGTTACCAGACTTGCTACCATCCTGTACTTTAACCAGCTAACGTTATAGGGCACCATTTAACTTATATTTTTATGATTAGTGAAGAAATGTAAATCTCTTTATTTTACATAGTTAATTGTTAATCATACATAGTAAGTACATATATTAAATAAGGTCAGAGTGCCATCTCATTCAAGCTAATAACTAATATACTGTTGATTTACATTATATTCATATTAATATAAAAAGTGGAAAAGAATTTTTCTTTGTTTAAACACTCATCTCCAGCACAACGGAACCAATTTGAAAAAACTTTTTATAGAGTAAGTGTACAGTTTATATACGTAGGTAACACAGTGAGCTCTGTTATATACTTAAACTGTCAAACACCGAGCGGTCACCGGTGACCTCAACTTATTCTTTAATTGTGTCTATCAATGATATATCTATGATAGAACGAAGAAAAACTCTTTTCCACTTTATTACACTCTTCATTACACCGTCATTACGGTACTCAAAGAGTTAAGTTACTATACTGGTGTCAAGCCTGGGTAAAATATTCCAGGATAACATCAGAATTAAAAATATTTTTTTTATTTCAGCTTTCATCTGAAAGTGTACTTTGTACAGAGTGTATGGTGTTACTCCAAGATCGAGCAAACACATTCATTGTACCTGAAAATGCTTTCCCATTGCCTGCTCTTGGTCACAGAAGTGTATGTTTTTCTTGTGGATTGTCTATTTTACGTGCATCAAGAACATATACTGTGCGATCTGACCGCCAAGAAAGGAATGTTATATTAAGAAATGTTCCACTGCACTTGGTATGTATTTTGGACTTGCATATATTTCTATAATGCTAGATTTCATTCTTGGGGAATTTCACCTTGCAAAACTGCAGTAATATATAACTGCATGTTGTGTGAGTGAGTAAGGTTGGCGGTGTGTCAAAGCCAGTAGTTGTGTTGGGTTTAAAAGTATTTGAATTTGAACATACACTAGACTTATACTGATATTTCACTCACTAATAATAATATTGTATTAGTGCTGATATTGCATACTTATTATTTTAATGTTTTATTCTAATCAATTATACTGAGTTCATGTATTTCAATTTGTTCTTTTTAGGTTTCAAGATTGGAAAGAGTATGTAGTTCTTGTTGGATGGCAGCTTATAGAGAAGTGAGACGTCAAAATCAATTAGACTCTAATCGCCCCACTCTGCCAGATGTGGGAACGAGTGGAGATTTTAATGTACCTGTACCACCACCCCTTCCGCAACATGTCTGGGAACCTTCTCCAACAAGGGATAAAATAACTTCATCTGTGTACAGACGTGGTGCTAATACAGCTAGTCATTGTATATTTGTTGACTGTTTTGAACCAGAACGTTTACTGATTCCTGCTGCTATTAAGGATCTTTTACTTTTAAATCATAGGTTCTATGTACCACCCGGAGCACGAATTTGCAATTATCATTTAAATCATGGTCACTGGAATGAATTAACCTCCCGGCTAAGAGATTTTACTGGTACACAGTTTGATAACATTTTAAACATGTTGCAGCGAGCTGCCAAATACCACATTGATTTTTCGAATATTGCAACTATGCCGGCATATTTATGTCATTACTGGTTAGGTATGACTTCTAATCAATTTCATGATTTATTAAATTCTATTCCAAGTCTGTCAGACTCTGTACCTAATGCCACTATTGCTTTGTCTATGTATTTAGTTAAACTGCGAACAGGTGATAGTAACGAAAGATTGGCAACACTTTTCGAGAAATCTCGAACTACCTTAGAACGCTGGATGAATGCAGCTAGAGAGTGTCTAACTAGACAGTTTGTACCGATGCATTTAGGATTTAATCATCTAACCATAGAAGATGTTGCTTCTAGAAATAGAATAATCCCTGAAGGATTATTTGGCAATCCAGATTTTCCCCAAATACCAAACCGGCAATAGTCATGTGTGATGCAACATATGTATTTATGCAGAGTAGCACTAATTATTTATTTCAAAAACAGACTTATAGTTTGCAGAAACTAGATAATTTAGTAAAGCCATTTATGATAGTATGTTGTGATGGTCACATAATAGATTGTTTAGGGCCCTATAAAGCAACCACTAATGATGCTACGATTACTAGTTTGAATCTTCGTAATGAGGAGTCTGGTATAAGAACATTTTTCCGGACAGGCGACATCTTTATACTTGACAGAGGTTTCAGGGATGTCATAAATGAATTACAAGAATGTGGTTTTGTGACACACATGCCAGAATCTTTATTAGAAAACGAACATCAGTTGACAACCCAGCAAGCAAATCGGTCTCGTTTTGTAACTATGTGTCGTTGGGTTGTAGAAGTCGTTAATGGGAGAATTAAAAGGGACTTTAGACTCTTTCGACATGTATATAATAATCGTGCTGCTTTGCATCTAAAGGACGATTTTAGAATATGTTGTGCACTAACAAACATGTTCCATGTATCCATACAGGATCCACCAGAGGCTGCAGAGTATGTTAGAATAGCAAAAAATAGGCTTGAGCTTGAAAACCATTTAGCAATATATGTAGAACAAGAAAATCTGAATAGAAGGAGAACGAATTTTCAAATGATTGATCACATTAATCCACATTTAAATAGGTTTCCCCGACTATCAATTAATGATTTAAAGCAATTTGCACTGGGTACCTATCAACTTAAACAAGCCAGATCGTACTATGGGGAACATGTCCGTCGGACTGGTACGTATCATGTAGAAGTAAATGACGTGATTGAGGATGATATACCTCTGATTTTGGGATATAATAACTATCTATTGAGAGGCAGGATTAAATCGAGACACATAAGTAGTCGCACCTATTTTACCTACTTATTAATTAGCAAAGATGATGCTGTGGCTAATACATTAGACGCGATTGTCGGCTACTCATGCAGCTGTCTGGTAGGAAAAAGAACTGTGGGCTGTTGCGCTCATATAATGACTATAGTTTGGTTTTTGAGCTGGGGGCGCTATAATGATATAACTGCTCCAGCTTCGTATTTAGAC